CAACCCCAAGCCTATATTTGGAACTTAATATAGATTCCGATTTGTGCTGTAGGAAAACATAAGATGTCGAATGGCAGTGTGCCTGGTGTTAATGTCTACCCCTCCCCCAAAACCAGTCTTCCGAAAACCCAGCTGATGAGTCCTCTCATCGGCCTGACCCCCCCCAGTACAAATACATGCCCCTCACCACCTCCCATGCTCCCAGCTCCTGGCTAAGCCTGCTCTGTACTGATTCATCAGCAGGGGATGTTCTCCAGCACAGAGCCCAGCTGTTACACAGTCTCTCTGTGGGGCTGAGAGGATTGCTGAGGGGATGACACATGCCTGTGGACTGGAGTTCTCCTCCAGGTCCTGCTCTGATCACTCCCCCCCCAGTTCTTCCCTGCACCTCCAGGACAGCCACGGTATTTACCTGGGCTGGGCTGACACAGCAGCAGCGCACTTATCCCAGACCCGCCACCCCTGACTCATCCGAACGCTCTGACTGATCATCCGATTTTCCATCGCTGGCAGGGGCTTTGCTAATAATAAAATAACTCAAAGAGGCTCAGTGGTGGGAAGAGCTGGCGATTAAGCCATGCCACAGTGTCACCTGTCGAAATGGTGAGCACCGTGCTGATGCATGACACCCCCCCACCTGACCCCCCCTCACCGCACTGTCAGATGCTATTTTTATCCTCTGTTGAATATTTAGTGAAGACACGGGTTCGAATCCCAAACCCAGAACTCAAAATGGCAACCTCGATATAAGGCAACTAATAATAGCCACATTTCTAGCTATTGTAAGAAAACAAGATCTAAATGGAGTTTGTCTCAAATGCTTCCCATTGTGCCTTAGTGACAGTGACACATGATATCGAAGCATCTGTAGCCTCTGCTCAAGATGCCTTTCTAGTAGCATGTGATTATAAAAAAATAAACAAGGCTATTTGCCTGAACATGTAACATTGTAAATGTTAATGTAACTGGTCCACCTGCTCCTCTACGAAGGGCCCTGACATGCTGGAATCGCCTGTGAGGATCCTTTTACAGGCTCCATTCCTGTCATGTGCTTATTCTTGTTGCTCTGTTTCTCAGTATTGTGTGATCTGCGTCACTCCACCAGTAACTGCATCCCAGCCGACCCCTTGCGTGGGGGGGGGGGGCTTCTGTAGAGGGGTTTGGGCTGCAATTCAACAGGCCAGGACTGCAGATCTTATCCACACGGCGTCCACCCCAAAGCTGCCACCTGAAGAACGGTCCCACTCTGATCGCACTTGTCAACATGATAACGTCATGAATCACAAAGCTGAGAGTGTAGTGACTCTATAGGAACAGTAGGAAAAACATTTCATGGGCAAAGAAAGTGGAGACTGGAAGAGTGCATCAAGTCAGCCCCACGCACTGCACTGCAGACGGCACTGTGGACACTGTGCACGGCTGGAGGGCTACACGTATGAAAAAGTAAAACCAGAGAGGTTGCCATCATCACTGAGCACTGATCTGAAGATTACTGTGTGGTTTAACATCATGAATGACATCTCCAAGCTGATTGGGCGGAAAAGTTGTGGAAATCCCTCTTATTCACCCAGACATGTTCATCAAGGCCGATACCTTGGTTCCCTTCAAGACAAAACGGGACGTGTTCTCCATCTTAAGTAGCTGCTAAAGCCTACATGAACTAGAGAGACCTGTTGGTCTCCTCTCGTTTGCAAACTTTGTTCTGTGTCACGAAGCATGCTTTGAAACCCAGCACCAAAATCCCTGTAAATGTACAGATTTAATCACACACCGCTTTCAGTCACTCTTTAGCATAATTACCCTCCTTCTTTAACGGAATGAAAACGGAATAGCTGGAATTCCAAATAAGAGTCAGATTCTTTAAAGGGGAAAGTAATCTGAGAATCGACAGCAGAGAAAAGCTTGGAAAATAAGAAGAAGGTGTTGAGGAAAATAATGGGACAGATCATGTTAACACCATTCTCACACTGAGGGAATATTACAGGCGAGTTTCTTTGTGTTGTGTAAGAGATTGCCTCAGTAAAGCACCCATTCTCTTGCAGCTATTCTTAATTACCTTGTGGGGGATGAAGGGAGTCTCACTCTGTCCCATTGATCGGGTGGATTAATGGATTCCCGGGTTACAGCTCGGCTGAGTGGCTCGGTTTGGCTCAGTATTTGATCCGGTGGTGTGTGTGAGAGACGTCAGATAGGACTGACGGAATATTCTTCTCTCATCTGGTGCTGTTCTGCTGCACTTCTGCCCCTCATTCATCTGCTCTTGCCCTTTTGGATTCATCTCCTATTTTTTATTAATCCTCTGAGAGACTAAGAAATTTTCATTTTTCTAAGGGACGTGCCCTGATTTCCTGATTTCTGTGACTCCCCTCCCCCGTCTTATTAATCTTCTGCTACCTGTTTAAAATGGCTCCATCTGTTCAGCTAGGTAAGATTTACTGACCCTGGGAGTTTTCTGAAATCGATGATCAGTTTTACATACTGTTTAACTCTCTCCAGATACACTTTCTTTTAAAACACATATGACAAGATGAAAGAAAAACCAATCGTGGATTGTGAACTAATCCTTTATTTCCAGTTGATATCGCAACCTTTTTGCCAAGAACTGAAGGAATTTTAACTGGGTGGACAAGTGCACTTGTCAACATGTTAACGTCATGAATCACGAAGCCGAGAGTGCAGTGACTCAATAGGGACAGTGTTCTAACTGCAGTTTCACAGGGCAAAGAAAGTGGAGGCTGGAAGAGTGCACCAAGTCAGCCCCACTGGCTGCACTGCAGGCGGAACTGTGGACACTGTGCACGGTGTACTATGAAAAAGAGAGCTCGCCATCATCACTGAGCACTTTTGTGGCTTCAGTTTACAATTTCTAGACTTCAATCTAAATGGTGTTTGTTATGTTGACAGCTCTATTTCTGTCCATACAAATCACTGTGAAAAAAAGGTTCTCAGACTGTCTGTTTGCAGATGGCCGTTCTCCTTGAAATACAGTGTTCTTGTGCAGGAGGAGAGGGAAGTATCAAACAGAATGAATGGCTGCTGAGATAAGGAAATGATAAGTAAAAGGCTCTCCTATTCCCATGGCCATTCTCTCAGGCCTTTTGTCAGTTTTCACTAGAGGCCTGCATTAACCCAGATTCCTTTTCTATGCATTTCAGCGTGGTCTTTCAGAGACGCCTTACGCAACACCAGAGTGAAAAGGCTATCATGTCCTTTGAGACCTGGTGAAAGATGACAGATCAAGACTGAAAGAATGAAAAGGAAAGCTTTTGTGAGCTTGTGTGGAGTGTGCGTGCTTTTGCGTAAAACCCGTGTTCCATGTAGACGGAAAGAGCTTAAAACGTTCTGTAAGGCTGATCTGATTCATAACACGGGGACCTAAGTTTATATAAGCCCAGCACGGTAATCAGGCATGCAGAAATACTGACGTCAACAAATCCGGAGGATTATTACAGAAGAAAAAAAGAGAAGAAACTGAAATCTGCACTTATGTGGCCACTTTTAATCATCTGAATGTGTGCAGCTGACAGTAATGCATTCAGGTCAGTGGGGCTTAAATAAACACAAATGACTTTAACTAGTTTTAGACCAAACAGTCAATACATTTAATAGGGACAGCTTCTACAGAGGTATTCCTTCTCCGAGAAGGAAAGCAAAGTGTTGTTCTTTCACACAATATTAGGAATAATAATTTCTTGCATTTACATAGATTATAGAAATATCTTAAAGCTTTTTATTTCAACCTCAAAACTCTTTCTATATACTCCATAAGGGAGCTCACATTGCCACTGAACTGAAACCTCGGCCTTGGTGAAGCACGACAGCCATTATGCGCCAGAAGCCCCACTACATTGCGGATCAAGGTGGGTAAGTGAGAGATTGCTTCACCAGCTGATTGTAAAGGGAATTTTATGCAGAGAGAATATCACAGGCCTAGAGATGAAGTTATCCAGGCTAACACCCCTACTGTTACAAACGCTGTCACTGGGTCTATACTGTCCAAGTTGTCAGGAATTTGGCTGAAGATTTCATCCCAGTGCAATACAGCCGGCCTTGTCACCATTCTGCAGAACTCATTTGTAAAGGGATACCTGTAAAATGGAAGTGTGCCTCCTACTGGTCTACCAATGCTACATACAGCTCCAATCTGTGCAATCTGGTTTTCCCTGGAGTTCTGCCACCCCAACATTGAGCAGACCCCGCCTTACTGTACAAATCTCTTACACTAAGGGCTATAGAGTTAATAGACCCTGGTCATTGTAATTCAAGGTTGAAATAAAATACTGCTAATTTTTCCGTTTTATGCCCATAATGTGTTCTAATTGTTTTGAACTCAAAATTGCCCGTTTGCTGTATAGACAGACTGCTAGTATGCTATGCTAACTGATTTTTCAGCCAGGCGGTGGAAGTACTTTTTAATGTCCTATGACAGCAACATGAAAAGTGGCCACAGCTAAAGACTGCTTTGAAAATAGACTTTGCGAGAGAATTAAGCTCCAAATTAACAGTAGGACGCATTGAACCAAGAATCAATACAGAAGCATGCCGGGGAGGATGTACGGAAATGAAGTTTGGTGAAATCAATTGACAAACAAAAATAGCCGGAATGACGCACAGACAGAAACACTGCTGTATCCCCGGATTGACCTTTCCTTACTAAGAGAGTGAGCTATGCTGCGTTCTCTGCACAGTCAAAGTCAGGGGGTCGATCCCAGTTTAGCACCAGTGCTTGGTCAGTCTTGGCTACACTTCGCCTTGATTGAGCCAGAGTGGCTACATTCTACACATTGCTCCATGACGGTGAGTCCCCAGGTGGAAAAGGTCGTCATGACAGTGCACTTTTCTGTTCTCGGGACTTTGGTCATGCTACTGTAGGCCCGCATTGTCATTTGGCACACATACACACTCCCCTTTTTGGATTGGGAAGACCACGGGTTGACTGAACTCCAGCCTGCGGTTAGGACGGCCTTGCTCCCCACAGCTTGGCCTCTGATTGGCTGAAAACCAGCAGCGCTGTCTGACCAGACGGCACAGACAAAGGCAATCAATAATGCTTGAGGGAATGAGTGAGGAGAACATGGAAAAGGTAAGCACCTGAAATACGTGTTTTTTTCTTGTTAAATTTCATTCAGGTATTTAATTCTTAAAAGAATTCTTAAGATTTAAATACCCCCTGTCTATTGGTTAAACCCACATTGTTCACTTAAGCTATTTTACTCCTTGCAGAGAACCATGAAGGAAATCAGGTTTCCTTTTACACTTGAATTATATTTCAAAACGGACTCATTTGTGTGACCTTAGCAGTTCTTTATTTAACCAGATAAGACGATTGAGAAGAACTTCTCATTTACAATATGTTAATTGATGTAGGAAACCCATCCACAGATGGGTGACAAATGGGAGAGATCCATTTAACTGCCCTTGCTCATCTATTCCCTACTGACCCCATGATCTCACAGAGTCAGGTCTTGAAGAACGGCAGAACAGCTCAGCAGGTTTTTTCATTGTTGTCATGACTCTTAAAGGAGATGGGTGAGTGAGTCGAGAAACCCCGTGGTGTGTGAAGTAACCCATCCACCCACCCACCCCACCTGCAAAACTGTGCATGCCTTCTAACACTCCTCTGAGATCCAACCAGAAAGATCTAGAATTAATCACTGATAAATGTAATCTGTTTGGGTTACAATTACACATATCAGTTGCACTGGGGTGAAACCCCTGGCTACCTGCCCAGACACCTTTCTGAAGGATCCGTATCATTTTTAAGTTTAGAGGAGAGCCCTTATGTATAATTCAGTGCTGAGAGTAGTCCCTAAAGGCCAGTACAAAACCTTTGCTACTAAGTCTCCTGGTACAGTACACCTCCTTGATGCTCCTGCATAAACCTAAATTTATCTCCCATGAGTCACTAATGAAGATGACTTAGCACATGCAAGGAGTTGCTTGCTGATCATCTGGCCTCATTGTTCCCTGAGTCAGGCACACAAAAGCAAAGCTCTGGGCTCAGACATCACTACAAGGACGAGGTCTCAAACCCCCTTATTATTCCTGCAGTGTGACACTTCAGCGATGACGAGAAATGCAACAGAAAGCCTGGTATTTTGAAGATTGCTAAAATGGGCCCTTTGCTGATGGGAATAGGTTCTTGCATCAGCAAACGTAAACTAGACAGCAGTCTGATGCTGTGATCCAGCTGAAATCAGACTAATTAAGTATCTTGTTTTACACAGGCCACTGGTAAACACAGGCTCGTGTTTGCCCAATTAGTGGGGAAAAAACTGACATTGTTGCCTGACGTTTTCTCTTTGGAGTCTAAATCGTTAGCACCCCCACACAGATGCCTAATGCCAGAACTTTGTGCCTCTTCAGGCACTGCATGGTAAAGAACCATATCACAGAGAATTGCTCGTGAGATTATTTTAAAAGAAATGTGGTCACACATGTCCAGTAGTGCCCCTTGCACGCTGGGTAATGTAGCTGCTCTGGAGGGGATCCGAGTTTTGCATGTTGCAGAGGGGCAGCTCCCAGCCAACGCCCCTTTCCTTGGCTTGGGGTCGATTTTTAAATATAGCTCATTACTCATGTGAAAAACGAGATAGTGCAATCAGTTCTAGACCTCCTCTCAGACTGCATCAGAAATCCTAGTTGTTAAAAAGTATACATTGGTTTTCATAGAGGTACGCAGTGTGTCATTAACAGTAATAGAATAGAACAAGAAGCAATAATAAGCAATAAAGCACAAAGGGAATGAGATTATTTGAGGACCGAACTGCAGACTGTCTAAACATGATAAGCCTTATTAAATGAGAATGTCAACATGGCCAATAAATCAGAGCAGGCCCACCAAATTCAAACATAGTTTTAATTGCCCTTCTCTATATATAGACTCTGAAGTGGGCCTTGAGGAAGAGTTCAGACTCTGCTGTGAACTGCTGTTTTTTTGCCATTGTTGGCCACATCATGGGCAAAATTACAGCTGTCCTTAACTGGCTGTAGTAGAGTGTCAGCCATTTAAATGCAGTCCTCAAAACAACCTCTCTCACCTTGCACCCGAGAGACGCTCTGAGAGAATTCTGGCCCTGGTCAGCTTTCCTGGTGTTACGGGATGTGTTGGCAAAGAAGCAGAATCAGTAGCAAGCTCATGAGTCCACCTCATACCCGAGGGCACACAACAACACAACTGAGTGCTCTTCTCCCCAACACTATGCCTCGCTGATCTCCTCAGCTCCCCCACCGCCTTCCCGACTGCTGTGACTCACCGCACGCTGCTTTGTTTTTAAATCTGGATCCCTGCCAACCAAAAAAGTCAGGAAAGGTTATAGCGTGCCTTGTTCCCTAGCAGTCCAGTGTTCAGGTGCATTAGGATCCTGCTTTAAAGGATTTAAAGCATTCAATTTTGTATACTTCATTTTCTAACATAGGTTTGCGCCCCGTGATTGCTAATGATATCATTGACTTAATTAAGTTCTATATCTACCAATGATGCCCCGTTGGATGTTCAATGTGATCTAATAACATTCTGAATAGTGATTCCATCAATATGCATATGAATTCACTGAAGCATGCAACCCCCCCCAAAAAAAAAATATTCAGCCTCCAATGGAAGAAAACTTCCGAAAAAGGGCTTTTAAGGGTCAGTGATCATATATTTGTTTTATTCCTGTATCGTATTCACTTCCAAAGAGAAATGAGGACCCTTGTTTTACTGTACAACAGAACCCATTTCTTCCACCAAGCGGATCCCTGTGTGATCATTACATAAAAGATTTTCTGCTCCACAGCTGACAGCACAGTATGTAAAGTCAGCATTGCTCAATGTCTACAGCTGCCTGGCTGCTAGGTTTGTGCTGCTTGATTTGTCCTTGTTGAATGAAACACTAGTCATCTGAGTCCTACTGATGGCTGCCAGGGAAATTGACAAGTTTGGAAATTGACAAAGTGCAGCTAACACCCAGACTGATGCTGTATTTGTGTTTTTCTCAATGAGCGCAAAAACCCATCCTCTTTGTCTTTAGGGGGTTGTGGAGAATTATTGCCCAGTGCAGTAGCACCGGGTGTATGACAGGAGTACACTGAGGACAGAACATTTCAGGGAACACACCTTCATGGACATGGGGGCAATTCCACGAAAGCCACTAACTGGACAGTATGTCTTTTGGACTATGGGAGGGAACCAGAGCACCTGGGGAAACCCGGAATGGCTGTAGAAGAACGTGCATACTCCACACAGAAGGTTACACCTTTCTCGGCCTGCAAGTAAAACTGAGACACAAGAGTGACTGCAGGGCTAGTCACTATACAGATATATATGCATATACAGTATAGACCCATTCATACATATTCCAAGACTGAAGAGGTTAATGAATGGCACTGGTCTTTTGTTTCGTAGGGGTCTAGGGTGAGAGGGCTGCAGGAGGAGCTCCAGGCCACAGTGATTCATGCCAGCTGGTGCTCCCTCTCTCTGTATGAAGCCTACCACTTGCCTGACCACAAACTCTTCGCTGTGAGTACCCACGCTTGTACAGCTTAGCGCTATGTGTCTCTCCCCCAGCGCCAGACACCCAGTAATGACAGAGCCAGGGGGTTGCAAACAGGCATTTTAATTGGTCTGTGACTTGGCCATTGCCTGGCAACACAGAGGCTGATCCAGGGTCAGAGTTCACAGCATAACACTGCATCTGATTTTTTGGAACAATCATGGAGTGATCATGGATCAGAAGGTTGCGTGCTTTGGTGACCATAAATTGTGAACATTCAGTAAGTAAAACAAGATGCCTGTTTATTCTGGACCTTTGTACCGGAGGCAGTGGCTGTGATAACACTCTGTGATGATGCTCATCTAGTGACATAAAACTGGCTGCTCTCATAAAACCCTGAACCCTGTTGTCAATATGTATGCGTAAATAGTATGAAACTTGAACGATGCAGAAACTTGTTCAAATGTGTCAAGTTGAAAACTTATGAAAAGTATCATTTTTTTATGTCAAACAACAAGAGTGATGTCAGATGTGTGTTGGAGGGCTTCCACATGTTCTAAACCGCCACTTTGTAACACAATACAGTAAAACACCCCAGAATCTCATTTTACTTGAACCAGCACTGGTCCTGAAGAGCCACAGCACAACAGGTTTCACGAGCCACCCTAAAACCCTCCATGGCTGAACACGGCAAGTGAACAGTTTCATTTTGGCTACTGAAGTGATTTGTTCGAGTAAGAAGCTGAGAGACAATGAAACTTGACATGAAGACACGTGGGCCGTCCCTGACCTGGTTACACTGGTACACACTGATCAGGACCCCCAGGTAACCTGTAAGACCTCTGGACTGTGGCTCTCCAGGCCCAGGGTGAGATCCCGAGTGTTTTGAACGTGGAAAAATGTTGCTGCACTGTTGGCCAAGTCTGTTTTTTTTTTTACAATACCAAGACGATTAAATTTAATAAGAGTAAACTGAATTAAGCAGAGTCCTTCACTGAAGCTTCAATGCCCACATTAACAAGAGTACATTTTATTCTGCTTGATTAAAAATCAGAAACGAGGGGGAAAGAGCTTGATTGAAATCCGTGGATAACGACGCTCAGCGTCGAAGGCACTCGAACAGTCACTGGGAGGGCTGCAGTGCTCTCTTTTTCTCAGGTTTACTTGTTCCCTTGTGAGTTACGTAACATTTTAATATTTTACATGGAGAAAAAAAAAGGTTATTAGAGGGACTTAATTTTAGTTTGGCAGATGAGAGGAAGGGACTGACAGCAACAGCAGAGCTGCTGGGGTTTCTCAAGGAGAGCTGGGTGATGGACAAAAAAGGTAGGGGAAGATATCAGCTCTTTTCATATCATTCTTTCACCGCAGAGCAGGGCATCGCAAAGGGACAATACTATACAATACAATAATATTGGTATTTATATCAAGAGCTGCAGCCTTTTTGTCCACATAAATTCTAAATTCTTCTTTATTGCTGAAATGATTTGTAGCAAAGGACAGCCGGTTTTTCCCACAGCAAAGCTGAAGCAAGCGCAGAATATCGCTTGAGCACAGTCCTCAGTCTGGTGACCCAAAGGCTCTAACTGATTTTATATTGTAATTTGATATACTGTGAATCTGACATTTAATCGTGGGTGACATCAGTGCCAGTAGGATGGAAAGAGATTTTTAATGAGGATCGCTGGCAGTGCATTGCTCTCTGTGCAAGAGCTGCATAAGCCTCATCTTAGCGTCCTCCTGGTATAAGTTGCACTGCAAGGAAACAGTACCTGTGAAGGTAGCAGAAATCTTGCTTGAATTACATAGCATTCACTTGCAGGTGAGTTAAAGATATCAGGCGAGAGAGATTGGGGAATGGAAAAAAGACTCTAGTTTCACAGTGGAATCATGAGCTTGAGTATTTTAAAACCGTTAACCAAATACTTTTCTAATTCTACACCAGTCCATAGAGCTTAATGTTTTGACTTTTCACTTATTCAAAATGAACTCACTTGTGTTGACTAGTGTACAAGAAGCAGCCGTTGTAAAACCCAGAATGACTCAGATTGCTGTGCAATGGGATTCTGTATCTTTCCTGCTGTCTGAACCAGTCATGTCCCAGGAAGAGTGACCAAAAACATTAGTGTCCTCACTAAAATTCTTTATCATCAGATAAGAGTCTCTCTGCATCACGCCAGATGAGCGGCCTGTGGGTGTGAGGTTGGACACTTGATGGCAGACCTGGGCAGGCGTGATCTGGTATCCCATTCCTGGCTTCTCTGGAGTGGTGCTTGGGCTGGATGATGAGTAGAAAAGGCCCAAATGTTTGAGAACTGGAAAAACCTGCTGTTCACGTGTCTGTCACCCAGCTGAGATGGTGGTTTTGCCTGCTGGCTTAGGAATGACTGCACAAAAGTAGCTGAAACCCTGTGTTGACGGGCTTTTCAGAGGACAGTCATGCATCTTTGTAATTCTCTGAATCAGAACCAGGTCATTCGGGCTGGACAGTTGTAAGTATTTTTGTTGCTCTGTGGAAGAGGCAAACGTCTTTGTTTTGTTTTCTAAAAAAGGATCAGGTGCCAAGGTCACCTCTTCAGAAACCTGAACCTTTGAAGTCACTGTTAGAACTGAACGTCTGCAGTTTTGAGGCTGCACAGCTGTATATAAGCTGGCAAATGATTCACTTGTCTTTGCTTCTGCCCTCATGATGAGCGGAAACTTTTCTACACCCACCTGTCCCTCCGTGTGCAAGAGAGAGAACTGTATGCGATCCAGCAGGGCAAAACATAGCCTTTTTATAACAGGTGTGGACAAGGTATTGTTTGCTCTTGAACAGACACAGCAATGCACTTGCTGGTGCTCTGGCTGTACAGCTGGATCAATATTATGTCCTAACCTCCGGTTATATGCTGAGTTGTATTTTAGATTTTGTTTTTCTGTGGGCTTAGCTGCCATTGCCCTTGACTTCACATTTGTTTTAAGCTTTTATGTTCAGGAACTTTCTGGAATGAAAGTGACAATAAACATCTCACTCTCCCTTCCACAAAAACAGGTAATGGGATGGAGCAAACAGCTTTTTACAATAGAGGACTAAATTCCTCAATTCAGTGTTGAACTCATATAGCTCTCAATGTGAATGAGCTTTTGCCCTGTAAAAGCCGTTGTGGGGAGTTTCAGCACTTTACATTATAAATCACTTCAGTGTGTCTGCTGTTTATTCACTGTTATGATTCTGAGAGGCTCTGAAGGAATGTATTAGCAACAGCTCTGTGTATAAAGTTTTCAAAACATCCAAGGACTTACTCCCTGCACATCGAGAGGACATTTGGAAGGTATGATGCCTATTTTCCTTCCCTCTCACACTGCCTGGTTCCCTTATATGGCAGTCACACTGTTTCTGGGTGTTAATGTAGCTTCTCATTTTTATCAGAGTGGAGCTTCCACTATTGGAACATACATGTGTGATATTAGCTTTCAGGGCTTTCAGGACTATATCCCACAGTCGTCATAGTAGATTCTTGGGGTGGAAAAAAAATCAGATTTATTTGAGGTGATCGTGTGGCTCTGTGCCAAATAGAAAGAAAGAACAATTAAAAAATGGCTTACAAATACAGTATAAGCATGGTGCGCTATTAAGGATGCTGCACAGTTAATTGTGCCAGCTGCCTGGCTTGTCCTGATTGGATGGTTGATCAGCCAATGAGAATCCATCAGCTACCACACCCTTGTTCTTCCCCCAGACACAGTACATTAACACTGTTACCATAAGTCCATGCACTCTTTCAGGAATAAATACATTTCACATATAAATCCTGCATATGAACAAATATTGATCTGAGCAAACAGCTCACATAGTGGTTGACACAATGGACCTCTACACCAGGTCCACCTCCAGGTATAGCCTTTTTATGGCCTCCTCTGTCAAGCCACTGTTTACTTTGTATGATAAGACTTAACACAAGCCTAATGCTCTATTAAATGATTCTTCAGCCTGTCACCTCAATCTTGGCCCAAAAATATGAATGCAAAGTGGTGTCAAAGTACACGACTGCTTCGCTGCCTGCCCACATGCTCTTGTGTGACTCTGCATTCGTGACCGAAGCTGGATTGGCTACACACATTCCCTGCTGACACTGCTCTCTGCACTGACTGCAGCATCATAAAACACACACATAGTCAAGCACAGCGAAACTGCCCACACAAAACACAGAACAAGCTTCCAGCTGTCCATGTGTCAGTGTGAGTGGTAACAGAGCATGTTTCCAATGAGCATGATTGTTCTTGAAATTAAATAAAACGCTGAAACGGGAGAGAGAAGACCAGAGGCAGATTGCTCGGTGTTTCAGGGCACGTCTGAACCGGGTTCCTTCCAGGAGACGTTTATGTAGATGCAGTCTCACCCTGTCCCCTGTGCATGTTGCTTGCCAGAACATATTTAATGGTGTGTTTTTAAGACCCGTCCTGTTTGCCCCATTTTCTGATCTGTTCCACTTCTGCAGGGTTTTTGAAAACCTGTGCTTCCCTTCTCTGAACCAATCTGTAGGTAAATAGCCCAGGTTGTGTCACTGCCCTTCTCTGTGTTAATCTTTCAATGCAGTGTCGTCTGTGTCACCACTGATTTCATTTTGCAGTTGGGGAAAGAAAGAGTGGAATTACATGTGCAAGTAAGATTAAACCAACACTGTGCATCCACCCTTTTTTCAAAGCTCTTTATCCAGTTCAGGGTCGCTAGAGAGCTGGAGCCTATCTTGGCAAGACAGGCACGAGGCAGGATACACCCCAGGGCACACACTCAGACTCACAGTCACAGATACACACAGAGTGGTAGGAGTGTGGAACAATCTACCCTTCCATGTGGGTGAAGCTGACACCCTGGTGTTTTTCAATAAAGGGCTAATTGACATCCTTGGATCTCTTAACTACTAACTACCAGGTGGGCTGAGTGGCTTCCTCCGTTTGTAACCTCTCCCATGTTCCAGCACGCTGGAGCACTGAAGATCCTTTGCAGAAATGCTGGGTGAAGCAATACTGAGAGGCCAGCCTGTAATTTTCTCTATCTGGAGCAGCAGTGTAGCTGGCAGGGAGGGGGGGAGTGTGCCTGTCGGCTGTGCTCTGTTCCCTGGGGCTACAGACATCACCTGAGCCGAGGCCCAGAATAACAAAGCAGAGGGAGGCAAGCTGTGCCTTTTAATGAGCATCCTCCTGGCGAGGGAGAGGTGAGGGACACACCCTTCCCAACTGGGTCGTCCTTGCCTACTGTACATCGGTTCCCTCTTGTCAGGCTGATGCAACTGCTGTACTCTCCTCGCACAGCTGCCGGTCTGTGCCTCTTGTACAGGGCATCAAGGCCCGGCAGTTCAAAAAAACACACAGGGTCTGCCAGCCAATATGGGGAATGATTTCCAATGCGTGTTTGAAAAATTCAGGACTGTGGAAAGGACACAGGTGAGAGCAGCCCCTTCGAATGTATTTGGTTCTGCTGTCGCACATACAGTACAGCCAGTATGGACTCCCCCAGAAAGAAGCACCTCTGCAACCCCCACCCACTAAAAGGACCATGTCAGGACCCAACCCGCATGTCCCTGGATAGAGGGAGGAATCGGGACAACGTGTGAACTCCACACGGACAGGTGTTCCTGGCAGTTCAGCAGTAGAGCAGATCACCACTGTGCCACAATGGTTCAACATTCCCCGATGTCAGAAATCTGAAGGCAGGATGATTTCTTGGATTTTCCCTGTCTGCTGTGACCTACCTGCAAAAGCACACAGTAAAAACACAGAAAAACAAGCACCCTAGTATATTTTTACTTTGTTATTCAATTACCCTTAACATGACCAAAAAGCAGCAGAAACAGTATAATTTAATTGCAAAGGAACAAGTAATAGGTTTATTCCATGCTGAAAAGAGAAGAAAGAAAACACAACGTTTCAGCCGTGGGGCCTTCTTCAGGTGTGAGCAGAGACTAGCGGAGATAATTTATCTCTAATAGTTAACATATAATATAGCTCTGATACTTCCTTCTTAACTTTTAAGAACACCCTCAGGTACTGTTTGATGCATGTTTCGTTTCTGTGCCTTTTCCAGAAATACAAGATCTTCGTGACAAATAACAGAGACTCCTGGTTTGTGATCAGACAGTACAAGGACTTTGTCAAGCTGTTTAAGATGGTGAGTGTGAAACAATCCAAGACATGTTTATTGTCAATTATAAACAGCCCAGTGCTGTGTAACATCTTTTCGGCTCCCCAAAACAGCCCCTCTGAAAAATAATGAAGAGGACTTCAAAAAAGGAAAGTAGTCTCTGTGTTCCGTAATATTCCTGTTGGTTTCTGGAACATGAAGAATATAAAACATAGATGACAAATAATGGACTCTAGATTAACTGAGACATGTCCTGTACAACACTAATCACGTACATAAAGGTGATCCTGGGCCTCTGTGGCTGCCCTCTGTTAAATGCACGAGTGGCCACATGGAAATTGTGCAGCTATGAAGCTTTCAACAGCCCTTCAACAAACTAGGTATTGCAGAACTCGTGTAAAAACGTAACACATCATGGGAGCACCCTGCAAACTTTGTAAAGCTCATGCATAACACATTCTTTTTCCACAGCTTATCAGCACAGTGGTGAGAGCAAAATCTAAACACCACAGAGACAAACAGAGTTTCCCACAACTCCTGAAATAGCTAACTGCAAAAAACAGCGTGCTGATTTTTTTTTTCACTTGCGCAGTCGATATCAAATCAAAACAGAAAACGTTTCCATGAACCTATTGCTCTCCAAAAAGAAAGGCAACGCATCTCGACTTCGACACCCTGGATCTCGTAATGCCCAGACAGCTCGCTGTGCCCGGCGCCGAGATCTGATTCGTGCTCGGCAGTAGAAAAGGGCGATCATGTGATCCACGTCTGCTGTCCCTGGGAGAGGGGGATAGGTGACAGATGTCCTTCCTCCTTGGATGTCTCTGTCTGGCTGCCAGCTCCAATCTGAGAGGAGTAAGCTAGGGAAAAGGAGGAGGTTAAACTCCAGGTGGAGAACCCTGGGCCGAAGGCGCAGGGCCGCAGCCACCTGGCCCTGAGTGATGGCAACCAAACCACTTTTAAATGTCATTCGTCAGTGTAAATGCAGAAGGTGTCCTGTATGGTTCCTCCACCATCCCATCTGCAGCCTGAAGACCCATTTTACAATAACGTCAACCTGCACTTTACTGTGATCACTCACTATGCTTACACCAATTTACAGACTGTTGTGTTTTGTGGGGTTACTGTACAGATTTGTTATATTTTATATTGTTTTATATATATATTAGATTTGATTTTCTGCACCTTACCATGCTGGTTAAGTTCAACTGTTCTTTTTTTAAATGACACTCTTTTGCTTCCTTTTCTGTGCTCCCATTTTCATTAAAAATATAAAAGGATTAAATTACTTTTAGACACAAATCAGTCCAGATCAATAATTCCTGGAGCTTATATTTTGATTAATTTATGTTTTTTTATGTTGTTTTCTTCAGATCAGAGAAACGCCCAGGAGATGTAGTAAAAACAGGGTTAAGAAGCTGAAAGGAGTGTCTAATACTAGCTCTACAGAAGGTGCACTGTAGAAAACCAGAGCAGTCAGTTTACGCAAAATTTTAAAGATCCTGGAAAAGGTTAATTGCATTTTTGTGATCTTAACAGCTGTATTTTTTCCACATTTTCCTTTAAAATATTTTATTCATATCTAACTACAACAAGCTATGTATTTGTCTGTTTTTAAATTATATCACCTATTTATTGCTTCAGATACATGATTGTAACTGACACCACACCGCATTTGTTGCGCTACATGCTGCTACACTTTCTTTTTCCTGTGCCTTGTTGTGCAGATTAAGAAGCAGTACCCAGACGCCCAGCTGAATCAGCCCCAGAGGAAGCTGTTTGGAAGGAAGTACACTGCAGGTAACCAGACACTCATCCTGGCGCTCCAGGAGCCTGCCAGTTTACTGCCAGGGGGCAGCTGGTTCACTAGGTGTTTTTTTGCAGTTGTCTATGAAACATCAGTGCAGTTATGTACCCAGACTCGCTGCCAGTGCCTTACTGCTTAATCTGCTACAACCTGATAAAGCTGAGTATCTTCTGATTCAGCAGCTCTAAGTGTGCTACTGACTGGTCCACACTGATATCGCTAGAGCAAAGTTACTGGTCCACTGTAACACCGATAAGTATCCTGATATTGGTTCACAACTCCTGCAAGGTTCCTGCACAAGCAAAGCCTACACTAACCCAAGACAGGGATTTTGGGGGTGTGCACATGAACCAGCTACTCTTAAAGGTCCCAATTCCAGTTTGCTGAGCATTTCCTCATTTACCATTTCATTTGTAAAGCAGGAACGAACTTGTTATTCATGTTTCTAGGACACCAAAATAGCTACAACTGCATGATTTTAGAGGTATTAAGTGGAAAGAAAGAGACATACACAGAATTTTCTGTCTATGGAGCCTTCTTCAGGTGTGATGAGGGCTCCAAAGGCGTGATGAAGGGTCCACAGCACGGTGTGTTGGGCTCACCCTTTTCACTTTTCACCAGAGATCAAGCTTGACTTGTCTGTCACTGCTCACAGCACATAATCACTTTACTGAAACCAGGTCTCGCTCAGTCAACAGTGCCATGTTTTTTTTTATCTGTACCCATGATTCACGTAGACCAAAAGGCAGATTAGGAGCATGATGCAGTTTTGACAAGTTAATAATTTATTAGCATATACTGTACCTCAAGTGACATTTATAAAGATGCAGAGGAACATGATTGCTTAATTATTCTTGCATGTGGTAACACACAAATTTAAGTGTGGGTTATTTTCGTAGTAGTGGAACTTTTTCCCAAATCTTTCTAGTTTGGAACCAGAAGAATTTATACTTTTTTTTATTCTTGATGACACTAAAATCCCTTCTAATTTTTCGGTACCAAGACATTTAAGACACCTGAGAAGTCAAAGTCTAATCAGGCTGGTTAATGCCCATTGGTTTGCTGTGCATGTGCAGGATTTGTCTCTGTCTTTTTTCTCCCCGGCATTCTTCAGTTTTTAAGGCTGTTACTTTTTTCGCCCCCCTCCATCTTCAGACATCTGCTCGCCCACAGTGGAGTCTGTCGGCTCTCTGCAGGCTCTCCTGATAGACTCCGGCACTCACTCAGACTGAGCAGTGGCTGAAAACCGTTTGAGAGTCATGAGATGAATTTCATGAGTGTGTTTTTACAGGCCTGATTTGCAAAACAGCCTGTGGATTCTTCTGTTTCTCAAACTTGGTCTACTATTTGCTTAGGATCTTTTATTCCAGGACTGAAAGCACTCTAACTTGATGTTCAAAGTGAAAGAAGAGAATAGATTGCGGTTTATAAAAAAAACTCTTAAATAGCCATATTTAACCAGATGCTTGATTCCCATTTAAAAACTGATTTTTCAATCTTGTCTAGAACCATGTTAGAAATCTCACGGAACCTCCTTTATAGCCCCAATTCCTAATTCCTCACTCCAGAAGTGTTGGTTGTTGTGTTAAGAGACCTTGTTTACCACCTGTGAGACACGAGAGGTACTCTACATCTTTTCAGGCAGAAAGAAAGAGGATACGGACGGGATGTGTGGATTTCAAAATCTTCTGACATTTTGTGACATTTGTGCCACACCTCTGTGTGTTTTGTCCTTTACATCTAACATAATGGAGCTTCCTAACATTTTGGTCAGTGAACGTTATAACAAGTAACAATTAACCCAGATAGGCTGTAACGTCCGTGTGTCACATACTTATCATCAGGCAGTACCATTTTTACCCCCGGTGTCTTTACCAATATCATTCAGTTTAGTAATAATAACATGAAAAGATTATGTTATGCTATTGAAGGAAAGTCTTGATTGAACTGGTTTAGCGGTAGGGAATGCATTTGTTTTTTTTTTCCACGCTGCTCCGGGGTTTTCGTGACTCGAACTTTTTTATGCAAAACCAGCGCCGTCCGGCCACCGGGCGAACATGCAGTCTCGGTTTGCAGCTGAAATAGCCGCCGCGGGAAGACTCTTTGCTCAGCTGCCAGGGGGACTGTTATGTTACACCGTGTTTCTTTTCTGGCTGAGGAGAAACCGGCGCAGTCCGCTTCAGAGCATAAACAGATTGCATAACAATTTTCATATTTTGTTCTGTCCTGAACCGGTACGGGAGATTTAGGAGGCAGTGGAGGGATCGCTTCCTGTGTGGTGTCAGAGGGTGCAGAACACTATGTTTTTCTTGATTTAACCATATCAGTACACAGGCTCGTGTCCCTTACGAGACTCGACCTTGGTAAATGTACCAAAAAAAAAGAGTTTTATACTGCAGCAAACGGAGCTGGAAGGAGTTATAGCTCCAGCTACAATTTAGGATGGTGGGCTTGCTAGTCTTAAGGGGAGGAAGAGGGGGAACCCATGATATGTAGGTACAACAGGAGCTGCATGCTGACATAGCACCCCAGACTCCCGTAGCAAGACATGATGTGAAATGGGGGAACCCCCCTTATAAGGGGTCACGCAGAATGCAGTCAAGGTTAAAGCTGAGAGGGAGGTGGGATGATACAGTACTTTTTTTGTCATTCTCCTGTGCTTTTACTGTGGTTTATCAGTGGTTCCCACATGAATTCACTGGGTTACAAAGTTGGGCTAGAACAATACCATGGCGTAAATATTTATCATTTATCACGATGCAGGTGGCATCCTCATTGGTAAAAGGTCAAAAACACTATGGCAGATTTGCTAAGGGAAGGGTCACATGGTTACAGGCGCATAGATTTCCAGGAGGTATACTGCCCTGCGCCCATGGCTTGCTGGGATAGACTTCGCAGGCTATCCCAGCAAGCCATGGCTCCCATAGGCCCCTGAGTGGGAAGAAGTGGTTAGAAAATGGATGGATGGAGAATGATTTGACATAGACACCCAGTTGTTCAGACTGATGAACTGTCATTTTTGTATTTGTACAGTACATCATTTCCTCTAAGTGTCCTAAGATCTCCATTACATTTGTCACATGTGGTAGTGGTCATGTGACAAATCCTGTTGGCCACTGTCATATCTGTTCAATGCAAAAGGGAAGTGCTGTTATAGCAAAACAATAAAAACTATATATAGCACAGAGAACACACTGTTATACTAATATAACTATACATATCTTATATATAACTATATACAGTATAACATAAACTATAGTTATATGTAAGTGTTTTTAATTGTAATGTGTTAATTGCTGTTATAACATATATATATATAGTTATATATAACATTGTACATTTTTATATATCATATAACTATCTATTGTTACATATATAACAAAAATATTATATAGTTATAAAACCATATATAGCAAAGCTATAATAAAACTATAAAAGAGACTGTTCTGGAGAAATCCAATGTGCTTCTCATTGGTTTAATAGCAGCACTTAATTTCCTCAGCTGTTTGCAAAGTACTACAATTAGAAATGTACAGACGCAGCCATTCAAAATGAGCATTTAGCTCTATGGAAGATTTTAGCCTTGTTTAAACCACCCTTTTGTGGAGTCGTTCCAAGGGGTGGGTTCATTCATGTCAACAATTGTCTGCATTCGTTTTTTGTGCATGTGTGGCATCAATGTCTATGATCTGTAAAACTCCCAACTCCAAAACCCTTTGACATCCAGCCTCACGGTTATTCCTTATCCACCTGTGGCCACTATAAATTCCAATTCAGTGCTGTGCTGTACTGTTAAACCTAGTCTTAGCCTGTCTGAATGATGTTGCGGTTGTGTTTTATCTAGGTTATGTCTCAAATTTCCTGCACCAAATCTCTTCATGCATTAATAAACTGTGCTGTATTCAGCACTCCCAGGCCAATGACTGGATGACAGCATGCAAAGAGTGCATATATTAACAAATATATTTGTCTTATAGCATCGACCCATCCTATTGTTAATGTAATTAGCACACACTCTGCTGTTTCCCATCAGAGGCTGATAGGGATTTAGAATTTGAATTCTGATAAGCATAGAATACAAGCATACAGTATGAACACTGATAAGAAAAAGGAAACAATTATAACTCTAAAGTTCTCCAATGATTTTGCCTTTGCTTGCTGAATAATTTTCTAATTTACTGGAACAATAACTGGAGCTGAAGAGAACCTGATTGTTAGATTGTTAGATTGTTTCCTCCACTAGACAGGTAGTGGAGGTGAGGAGGTGAGGAGGTGAGGGTGGAGGGGAGTGCTTGCGCTTGATGTGACAGCGAATCAGGTTTCACAGCTCATCGCTGAAGAGAAGAAGCCAAAGGAAGCGTCTGGGGAATCATTAGCCAAGCTCGTTAACGAGAGGAGGAAAGGGGAGCTGCTGGTTAAAACGCAGGTGCAGGCCGAGCGAGGAGTCTGCTGTGCAGCGCTGCTCTGGCCAGCGGCTGGCATGAAGACGGAGAGCGGGAGGAGATCCTTCACAGGTCGGCGCTCTTCCAACACGACAGCAAAAACAGACTCGCAGGGGGTTATGAAGGTGGGAGGGGAGCCGGAGGAGGGGGATCAGATGCTTCGATTTCAGATTCTTGGTTTAATTTCTCCTTTTGAAAGGCCTTCCGTCAGCATGTGGCTCAGGAGAGGAAGAGGAGTGAAATGCATGTCAGTGTGGGAGTGCAGTAAATAGAGTAGGTTAATGTGCTGTAGTGGCGGCAGACTGTTCATCATGTCAGCACTGGCTGCTGCTGAGTTTAATAACATCGCACTTCTCCGCCTTTCCTGTGAAAGCATTTCATCTTCGATTCCCTTAGTTTCAGCAATCTTCCTTTTATTCAGTATTTCTCTGAACAAGCTTTATTTATTTATCCTGAAGGTATTTTCTTCTTCAGTGGTTGTCTGCAAGTAGCAGATAGGAAAGTTATGCAATATTAGGTATTTTGCTCAAATGCATGCAATTCTGACATTGGTTATTCTCACATGCCGAAAATAGTTCTGTTTTTAATGTCACACACTTTTTTCCCTTCTCCTATTGCAGATGAGTTCTTGAATGTCTTATACTGTTTGACTTTTTACTCAAAGTAAAGGGAAGCAAAAACGTTTGATTATCACTTCAAGATCAGGAGCTTTAAATAAGCCAGCGCACAGTTATTACAAAGCGGGGAATGTTATGTTTTGTTGTGGCAACCCTGTACTGCACAGTGTCTTCCTAGATTTTATTAGTGGAAATCTAATCCTGTTTTATGGCTGCCAGTTTCTTGCTCTTCATATAATTGTTAAAAAGTAAATAACACAGCGGGGATTATTGCAAGAGCCGCTCAGGCAGATTTCAAAGGAAAGAATTTTATTTCACACAGACAGGGTGCAGATGTTAGTGCAGTGTTTTCTTCAGGGGGCTTCTCCAGCACAGACGTGGTGCACAGTTCTTGTAGCTCTGTCGGCACCGAGCTTTATCTTTAATGGGGTTCCAGGAGAAGTAAGTCAACTGGGTCCAAAGTTAGCCATACTGAATGTGAGCACCTAAGAAAACGATACAACAAAATTCAAAGGCTTGTGTTGCACAGATGGCAGGTTTTGCTTTCAGGGATTAGAGAGCTCTATGACAGCTCAGCTTTCTCTTAAAGACAGAGAGGACCTAGAGTCAAAAAGAGAAGTTCCCACTTTGCAAAAACAAAATCCCTGTGGTTAAGCGACACCATGGGAGGCTCAATGGTGAGAATGACTGAACACTGCAATAACAATCAAGCCAAGAGCCGTTGTTAGTAAGAGGCAAGCATTTGCATTGACAGGCTATTTATGGTTTGGATTTATGAACGTTGATCGGTTTATGATTAGTGATAAAAATGTCTTATGAGATTCATCATGCTGCTTGACAGAGATCTATAAACAGATTCCCTTGTGACATTTTGTTCCTTTACTTCTGCTTACTGTAAGAGATCCATTCATTTGAATAGGGCTGCATTGTTGAAATAAGTAAATTAATTTCCTGTCTTCAATTTGATGTAAAGGGCAATGCATGACCACTTAAATGTTATCTGATGTGGCAATTATGCATGTGTGGGCGTGGAGCGTCGTCTGAGGAAGTTACTGTGGGTGGTTAAAGATATGTCACAGGTTAAAGTCTTGTGCATCCAGCAGAGCTACAGCAAGCTTCTCTGATGCTAGCCCTTGGCCGCTGTGCGTAAGAGTTTCTGTGGTTGACCATAGTGGAAAAAACACAAACGTGTTCAGACTTTTGAAGCAAGATATTCCACTACAGCAAGGGCAGACTGAGGGCCCGCGGGGTCTCGCAGAGTGAACACCTCTCTTCAGTCCACTACCGCTGTTGCCTGAACAGGAAACGTGTAAAATCGCAGCAGAATGTGGAGGCAGCAGAGGGAAGAGGGTTTTAGTGCTGGTGGGAAGGCAGCGAAAACAGGGGGCCAACCTCTTCAGCCTGCAGACGGATAGGCTTCCCCTGCAGAGCGGTCTTTCGTAATTGTGCGCAGCCCCAGCGTATGGGAAGCCAGGACCTACCAGCTGTCTCTACAGCCCCGCTGGGGCTTGCCCTGCTTTTTAATTTGCTCCACAGCTGCTGGCAACAGCACCCCGAGACCTGGCCAAGAGCCCCTGTTTTACACTTCACATCTGAGCTGTACGGCCTTGGAAGGGTGGAGAACAAACTGTGAATCACAGGAGAGCAAAGCACAGGAGAACGGGTCGAAACCAATCTGAAGGTCAAAGTGGCACAGCTCAGGTTATGACTTGGTGATTGATGCAGCCACTCATTTTCTAGCATCTTATCCAGTTCAGGGTCGCAGGGGACCTGGAGTCTATGAGTCTATCCCAGCAACAGCATGCACAAGGCAGAGTACACCCTGGACAGGAGGCCACTCCACTGTAGGACACGCACAGACACAAACATGTGCACACTCCCACCACGGCCAGTTGTACTAGAAACCAATTCACCTACCAGTATGTCTATGGACTGTGTGAGGAAACTGGAGCACCCAGAGGAACTCCACGTGCACAAGGAGAGAACATACCCAGAACCCAGAGCCCCAGTGTTTCACGGCACCAATGCTAACCACTGCAGCACTGTGGCATTCCGATATAGTACTGTGTTTGAAAATTCAGTAAGAAGGAAATGCCATTGAACGTTTTTTTTTTTACAAAAACAGGCTACAATGATGCTATTAAATGCATATCCATTAGTTCCCCAGGCAACACAGCTGCTTAATTGACTCACTTGTTTCTCACGACTTCTGCTCTTTCAAAAGAGAAATACAGTCCAAAGTCGACAATATTGGTCTCTTTGGCAGCCGCAGCAGCCAGACCTGCCAGTTAAGCAACCCAGAAACTACCTGTTCAACAAGTGAGTTTCACTACAGTAAAACTTAAGTGAAATCCTTTATCTGAACATCTCCCATTTCATGCGGTGTGACAAGGGTTGTGGTTTTCTGGCTAGGCTTTGAACTGGGAAGCCACAGAACAGAAAAATGCTGTGACACAATGTGTGTGTCTGCCCTAGATTTTTCCCCATTATTAGTAGTAGTAGGGGTTGTAGTAAGAGTAGTAGTAATACTAGTTTTTAAAACTTGATTTGTTCATTGGATTTACTTTCTTGTGCTTTGTCTGCAGGACTGTAAAATGATCACCCTGAAAAGCACTCAAATAAATAATAATGTACAGAGATGACAGGCCAAAGGAAGGCAGATTTATGGTAAAGTCCCCCACTTGAAAAAAATACAATATCAGTGCAGGTACAGTTTGGGGAATCCCGGATGTGCAACTGTCTCTTAAGAGCTGCAGCCCTGACAGAGCTTCTCTCATTTAGAAGGGATTACGAACACATTTAGGGGGAGTTTCCACCTAAACATTTCTGTATTTTTCTATAAACTGGGTGTGATCGCACCTGAGCTGTGAAAAAAGAGAACTGTAATCGTTAGCCCAACACCACAGAGGACTTTACCTAAAACTTCTCACTGTACGTGAATGCAGGTCACAGCCTCTGGCTTCTAAGATCCCTTAGATGTTTTCCATGTCTCGTCTTAGTGCAATTACATTTATCTGGGGGAAATTGTCAATTTTACTTTGTGTATGAACCGCTGGGACAGAGGTGCAGCTGAACCTTTGACCCCTGTGAATAGGCAGAACATTTGGCTGCTTTCCCTCTCTCAGATTGAATGAGTTTGTTCCACAGCTGGCCTGCCTCATCCTGCCATTCAGAAATCCTCTTTAGTTGGGGAGCGGAGTGGCATTTAAAAGCCCTGCCTGACACTTTGCCTTTGCTGGCTCTCTAATTAATCCTTAACACTCAGTCTGTGTGAGTGAATCTTGGAATAATTACATCTAGCCTGCAGGTGCATGCCTGTGGTCTGGCTCTGTTGGTAACATCAACAGAATGTCATCTCAAGAATATCAGAGGGAAAAGGCCAGGAATGAATGGTTCACATCAATGTGTCCATTTCCTGAATGCTTTATCCACTTAAGGGTGTCAGGAGAGCCGGAGTCTATCCTGACAAGCAACAGGAACAAGGCAGGGCTTAGGAAGTTTGTTTCATGATTTTCTGGCAGACCTATCTTTTTGTTTTTTGTCCTTAATAAATTAATGCTTCGGACTTCATGGACTTAAACCCCTTGAGCTTATCTGCGGGTCTGGTGCCCAACTATTACATTGTGCTTTCATTTTGACAATCAAAGAGGAAAGGCTGTGAAACCTCCCCTACTTGGCACCACCGAGTTGTAAGTTACACAAGGGGATTTTCCAACATTGGGCTGCAATGTGTGCCCATCTTCATTATCCAGCATTATCCTCTTCCAGCTGGCCTTTTTAATGAATCATAATTTCACCAAGGTCACCACAGTGCAGATAGGCAAACGAATACTGGTATATCAGTGCCTCTAGCCCACTGTCACCGAGTCTGAATGTTCACAGAAATAGGAAAAGAAGAGGATTTTAACAGAGGTGCTAATGTGCATGCTGTTGATTTTTTTTTAGAGTGGCTGGGAGTGTATTTTACAAGCCTTGCTGGGCTCCTTCCTTCCAGTAAAGCTGTCCCAGCTGTGATATTCTCTTAGTCTTTAGGTCCTGGTTGCAGTTGGCTTAGTGGTCTTTCACTTTCTGTGCTATAACACAATTACATAATTTAGAAGGTTAGTGGATCACATCTGTGGTTTTTGAGAGATGATCTGGTTTAGGTCGTGATACTGTTCGTAACTTGGGCTTATAACCCATATGACACAACATCAGTGTCTGACCTTGATTCATACAGTTTAGCATATTTTAATAACACCACAGTGATTAAGGCTCGATATCGATGAGTCCTGATCTCACAGGAACATTATTTCTCTAAGACAGTTTCACAAAGATGAATTGATGAATAATAATGTCTGATCAAAATCTGCTTTTTGAACGGATTAGTACAATGTCTATGACAACAGTTCATATGTAACAGTACATGGTACTGTAGTTGAGTCTTGAGAAATCTCGCGCATGTCGTTCTGAAATTATGAAAACAATAGGCAAATCCTTGTGCACAAGATCCAAACTAGAAAAGGTTCTTAAGTCTAAATCCCTTTTATGAATGCACTGCCCCCTCTCATTAATGTCAGGCGCTGAATATGCGCTGGTTAAACATTTAGGATCAAGTCATGTTAAATGAAAAATTCAAGCACGCGTCGTCCAAACTAGATATTGGGCATATGATTTATTGCAAACTTTAAGGTCGTTTGACACTGATTTTAGAAAATTTAAAAGAAGCGCTTGCTACAGAGGTTAGAAAGACGTGCAAAAAAAAACTTTTTGGGGTGGGCTGATTCAGTGTGCTTTCTTGTCTAACGTCGCTTTGATAACTTGACAGAAGTTAGACAAATTCTGCACTGTATCCAAAACATCCGAAGGCCACTTGAGTTGTTACGTGCATTCGCGTATATCTTCAGACCCAGTTACAGCAATAATTACGGTATTCATGAAGATTTCTAACAGTGGAAGAGAGTTTGGGGTATTTCAACCGATTACAAGACATACAATAGCGTTTGTCCACCGGTAGTAAAAATAACCAGTGAAAATATATTTATTTTAATTTATGTTGCGATCCGTTTTTCTTTTATTAATCAGTTTTTGAAAATGATCGATTTTCGACTAAGGCGTAAAGGAACTGGCACTGGTCTTCACGTTCATCTTCCGGGAAAGTTAATGCATCTGCCATCTCTCGAAATCAGTGTCTGAAATAATCCCCTCACCCCACACAGATTATGGGTCTCGGTATCTTTCCATTGATAAAATGAATCAAGTCGGCTGTCACTCATCCTACTGCTCATCCCTCGGACGCGCACCGGAAAGAGGCAGGGATTCTGCGGAGTCCCGTGACGTCACAGTGCAGGCCCACTGTAACTAGTTTCCAGGGCGACAGTGATGATGTCAGGGCTCCTGCCTTACCCACGTGTCCCATATAAAGCAGCCCTTCGGGTGCGCTGCCGACCTTAGTATAGTACAGACATCAGCTGAGCTGAGTTGCATGAAGGCTCTTCGGAACAGGACACAGCAGTTTGCAACGGTAGAGAAAGCGAGCCACTCTGTATACGAATTTCAGTCTGATTCCGCGACCCTCTAGAAGTATTTCCTTTGGATTTACCCGAGATGGCTGTTACTGAAGCTGGCTGCGACTTGACCTACTCCAAAATGAGGGGATTGGTAGCTTTCCTTACCGGTATGGAATTTTAAAGTTTATTTCCCGGTTCCTCTGCACCGCTGTAATTCCTTACTCCGTCGAAGGGACGAATTCAGTGTGCTGAGCTGTTGCCCCCACTGAAATGAACGTTCATGCAAATCTTTACAAGTTGTTTTTAATTGCAAGTGGGAAGTATCAGTGCCTGCTTAAAGCTGGGCACTATTATAACATTGGCGTGTCTTGTGAAACTACGAACTGTTTGTAGAGGCTCTGCACCTGTTGAATAAAATGGGTATTGAATGTCCCGTGGTTCCGCTACTTACAAATTGCTTTAATGAGGGACGTTAAGCACGGGTTTCGTTAAAATGTATATACTCGGTACTCTGCTGAGAAATAAAACCTCCGGAGAATGCAAGAGAAGTAGTTGTGACAGAACAATGCGGACTGGAGACTGTCCGCACCCGACTGTTCTGAATTGAAAAAGAAAGTTTCAATATTTTTCTCTGCGCTGCTCATTCATTCGCGTTAAATTGATAATGGCAATTTGAGTGGCTTCTGCAGAAATACCGATTGAGTCCCCTCGGGCGTGTTTATGCAACTTGTTTTGGAAAGTATTGATCTCCGTTTGCTTCGCAGAATTATTGGGGTGTGAATGAAAGTTTTGTATCTGTTTGAATTTCCTTCCTTGTTTTTGAAATCAACCGACAGAGCGCGGAATATAGGAAGAAACGTACAGTTCTACAATAAGAATGGCAAATATTTGTTTAGGCGGTGGGGGAAAAAAATTCGGATGTAGATTATCTGTATACATTTTAAATATGAACCGCCGTATACGTCAGGCTCCTAATTTTGACTTTTGCGGTTCGCTTTAATTCCAACAAGAGGGCTTTCTGTACAGGAACTGTACATTACTAAGAATCTTAATTAAATAGTAGGTGCTGTAGTACTGTGTATGTCGCGGAAAACAGCAAGTTGGTGGTATTGCGCCGTCTTAAAGCCGCCTTCGAAGCGGCGATAAACGATCTAGGGAGTGAAACATGACCGCCGAATTTGAACAACCCTGAGCTAGGGGCGACACCGGAGAAGATCCGGGCGTTTTCTGGTCCTCCTACAGTACATACAGTGTATACAGGAAAGCGAGGAACCCCAGTCCCCCCACCCGGTCTCTTTAAAAAAGCAGTGACGTTTGGGCAGGTTGCTATGTCTCGGATTTCCCCGCTGACGAATACGCCTCCTTTGTCTCGCAGCCTTCATCAAGGAGAGGAAGATGGGCTTGAACGACTTCATCCAGAAGCTGGTGTCCAACCCGCACATCTGTCAACAGTAAGTGTCGGGGTCCGAGTCCCGCGGTTTGGGGGCGTATCCTGCGTCCTGTCAGTCGACTTGAGCAAAGCGGGGTGCTGGGCCCAAAACTGTGCAAAACAAGACAACTTTTAACGGCAGGTGTGACCAGAGATCCCCGCTCCAGCAGTGTATTTGTCTTAATGTACTTTGTTTCATGTACCGTGTTTAAAAAGCCATATACAGTAGTACAGAGGTAAACAGAGCGGATTCTGCTGTATTTTCTTCAAACGGCGTGCATTATTATGTAAGATGTTTCTTACTATGAGTGGGATCTCTGTACTAGACGAGTGCTGAGACTCTGAATCGTATAGTAGAACAGCACATTCCTGTGTCCAAAAGTGTCATTTTGCCCACGGGGTTGGTCAGGCTGTGAATAGCATCAAGGTTTAGCCTAATCTCTGTTAACACCCACGCAGGTTAACCTGCTGCTTGAGAGCAAAGCTCTGGGAGGAAATAGACTTCACCTGTCACTGATCTCAGTCGTCATTCTTAAATAAGCACCCCTTGCTGCAGATACATTTTTCTTCTCCCAGGGCGAAGATAAAGTACTGATTCCGCTGCAGTATGCGTTTTCCAAGAAAGTTCTAGGTACCCCGTCTGTTAGTCGAGATAAAAAAAACAACAACAACGAGGCAATACGATAGATGTATAGAAAATCTAGAAGGCATCAACCCAAAGAAAGGAGAAAGTCGCAGTTCTGGATCTTTTACTTTGTAGACCAGAGAGCATTAATCCGACTGACCACTGACCGCCTTGGTTTAGTGGGTCAGCCAGTTCGTGATTCAAGAGCCCGGTCACAGGATTAGTACTTTAGGGTTAGGTGAAATGTTTCGGCATTGCTTCCAATAGCGCTGTCACAAGATGGGTATACGGTAAAATAAATGTGTTTTCATAACCGGGATCCCGTCTCTCCTGTGCTGCGTAAATTATCCCCCTATTCGTTTCTCTTCCGTCTGCCCTTGTTAGAGCAGATGGTGAGTCCTTTTCTAAACCTGCCCCGGCTGACACCACCTCTGATTTTTTTTTCCTGCGCTCCCTCCTCCTCACTGCCGTGTGGCTCAATGGAAAACAGATCACGCTAGAGCCCTTAAATCCCACATCTTGACCGTAATCCGAAATGAAGAGGGCGGTCGGGTCGTGTAGCACCGCGAGTCCGCGCTGGTCTCACAGCAAGGAGCTCAGTGCCCGGTTCCTGTATGGGAGTCTCGTCTCCAGCAGAGGTGTGACTTAACACGCTTCGTATCGTCTTGGAGGGCTCCGCGTTCCTTGCAGCGTGGGCAGCCATCTAATGTCCTGCAATCTCATGCCTTTGCATATGAATAATTGCCTACTCCAGGAATGACTCAGACAGGCTTTTCACGTTATCACTGCGTTGTGAAAGGCATCGGCGCCGCACCACGGATGTGAGAAACGCATCTCCAGCCAGATTTGGCTTGGCTGTAATGACAAAAGCCACAATTCTATAATTACTTTTGCAAAACACGTAATGGTCTTTTTGTACAGCCATCACACTGACTAGAGCTGAGTAACATCTTACAAAAAAAATAATTTCACTAAATTGAAATGTACTTTTACAATGGAAGACTTACTTTTTTTTACTTTTTCTAAAAATGTTTTGCGAGACTTATCTTGGACATTTTAAACAATGCCTTTGGTATATTTATACTATATGAAAGAACACGTAACTTTAATCGTTTTAATCTCCCAGAAGGCTTAGCCTTTTTAATCTTTTGATTGTGCGTTTTAATTGCTCCGGTAGAATAAACAAACCGTGTTACACCAGCGCCATCTAGCGGCCAGTCTGCATGCTCCTCGCAGCTGAATTTATCGCACGATGAGGATAGTCTCCAATTTTCAAGGACTCGGAGACAATGACTCCCTACAAAGAACTTTCAAGTACAGCAAATTAGATTCCTTAAAATAAACTCATGGACTATGACTCACGGTGCTTACAGATCAGGTTTTAGTCGAAAATTTAACTCAAAAGATTTTTGAAACGATATTTCAGAAGAGGAGTATGCTTCCTGTTCAAACCTTTTTTTTTTTCCCCCAGCTCGGATGTCAGAGTATTCCTGAAAATCGACGAAAATCAGAATGAGGAAACGGAACTGGAGAGCGGCTCCACTCCGGTAAGTACTTACCCTCAATAAAAAAAAAAATACTTTTATCGTCACGGAAGCGGGAAGTTTAATATTTCGTCCCTTCTGCTCGTCTCCTAGGTGTGCCTGAATTCCCCCAGAAGCTCGCTGGCGGAAGAGACCCAGTAAGTCTTCGGACTCTGCTCCCCGAAATCACGACTCTGCCAATTAGAGCGCCTGACTGATAAACTGATCACCCGATCTGTTTTTTTTTTATTTTTATTTTTTCAGGGTTAAACCGTCTGATTTTGACTACCTGAAAATCATCGGGAAAGGCAGTTTCGGAAAGGTAACCAGTCATCACTTTTTTCCGTTGTTTCGATGAGCTTATTCCGTAGATTTAAATTTCGGATTTTTCCTTTTTAATTTATATTAGCAGTAATTGAATGAAGGGAAGCCAGACGTCTTTCGTTGTGTATTCAAACCCGTTTAGAAGATAATTTGTTTAATGGAGAATAGTAGAGCTTTGACGCTTACAGGCTGCATTTCAGGTTAGAACAGAGAAACCACAGCGAAGGGTCACTTACATTTATCTCTGTGGTCATTAAAAACACTGCAGGCTACCTTTACTCCTTTGTCGGTTAAAACGTGGTGTACAATGGACTTTCCCAAACCTGGTGCTGGGCACTACAACCCTGCTGGTTGTCTTGGCAGCTGAGCTCATAGCTTAAATGATTTCTGAACTGAGCCAACAAGCTACTTGTCAGTCACAACTTTTGCAAGTTGTTCTTCGGGCTCGGAGCCTGGAGATGAAGTAACTTAAGAAATGCAGTGGTCGGGGCGATCGCTCTCCCCCGGTGTTCAGGGCTGTTGGCCATTCCCGGAATGGGTGCTGAGGCTCTCCTGCTCTGCCTGTCCACTGCAGGTTCTGCTGGCGAGGCACAAGGAGAGTGCCAAGTACTACGCTGTCAAGGTGCTGCAGAAGAAAATCATCCTGAAGAAAAAAGAAGTGAGTTCCAGCTGTGTTTCTGTATTTGCAAATAAATAAGGAGCAGGATAGTCTGTGGGAATCCTGCAGCAGGATAGTGATGTGTGTTGTGGACTCTGGCCTGCCGTTTGGTAGCCAGATGCATTTTATTACTGAAGCTATAATGGCTCTCTGTGACCCTGAGGCCATCTCTATAGATGGCCCTTCACTGATTGGGCTTGAAGGTGACTGACTACACGTGTCTGTTTTTGTTGCTAATAATGCTATACTATTGCTATGGTGCTCCCTGTCTGCTACAGCAAAAGCACATCATGGCCGAGCGCAGTGTCCTCTTGAAGAACCTGAAGCACCCTTTCCTCGTGGGGCTGCACTACTCCTTCCAGACCACCGACAAGCTGTACTTCGTGCTGGACTACGTCAATGGGGGCGAGGTAGGCACCAGCACTGCTGCCATCGGTACTTGCAGACTTGGAAATCAACACGTGGTTGTATTTGAACATTCAAGTTGGCTTTGGGATCCAAAATGAGAAATGAAAACAAAGCCTACCGGAGTAAACTTATTGGAGGATGTTGTCTGAGGCCTGTGGATCTTGAAATGTGCATGCTGGGACACGTGACATTTTGTTTCGGTCTTGTTGCCGTGTTTGCCCACACAGCGAGTACTGGCAGCCTTTAGCGCACACCTCCGCAGCCCAGCCTCGGCGGATCTGAAGACCTTGGCATGCTTTTGTAGTGCATTTACTTCTTTAATTAAAATCGTAAATGTCCCTGTGAGAGAACTGAGGGATGTCTTTCAAGAGAGATTTGGGGAAAAACAGTTTGAGCTTCTTGGCATCCAGTGCTTCCTAGAGAGACTGCATCCTCCCTTCCTCCTCCTCCTCCTCCTCCTCCTCCTCCTGGGCAGATCGGGGAGTGCGACTGAGTCATCACTCAGCTGTAGTGTGTGTTAGGGGTGGATTTGGACTGTTGTGATGTAGCCGTGGGTTTGTAACAGCCGCCCCCTCTCTCTTTCTCTCAGCTCTTCTACCACCTGCAGCGAGAGAGGGTGTTCCTGGAGCCACGCGCCCGGTTCTATGCTGCTGAGATGGCCAGCGCCCTGGGCTACCTTCACTCCCTGCACATTGTCTACAGGTAGGACTGCCCGGCCCAGGGCTACTGAAAACGCAGCCAGGAGACACACAGCTGCTTCGATACCGTCGCACATCGGTGCTCTCTGTTGCAGGTTTAGGTCTCGGTGATTCTGATGGGCTACATGTTGCAGTTTTTTTGCAATGGTTGTAACTTGAACAAGTGGTTCATGCCACTGTAGCATGATGTAGTGAAAATTAGCCTTTGACAATCGGGTGTTAAAGATGAACTCAACATAGCAGGAAATCGGATATAAAAAAGGCAAGGACAGGTTAGTTGTGGACTATGCGTGGTTAGACTCCAGTCAGAATGATTTGAACAAGGAGAATAAATGCAAAGGGAACACGTAACTAGCTCTACAGGCATGTTATGATACTTGATTCATTTTGAGGTTATTGCATCACTACTTTCATATGTGAGTGTTTTGGACTAACGGAAGCCTTTTTCTCATTCAGAGACCTGAAACCAGAAAACATTCTATTGGACTCGCAAGGCCACATTGTGCTGACAGACTTTGGGCTCTGCAAGGAAGGGCTTGACCCCAATGGGACCACGTCTACCTTCTGTGGAACCCCAGAGGTGAGACTGAGAGGCACCGAGAGATCCGTTCAGGAGGATCAGATCAAAGATTTGGCACGTTCAGGTAGTGTCAGGTCCTACAGAGCTTTGGCCAAATCCTTGACTTGTTATACATTCAAGGTGGCTTTAAGATCTTAAATTAGAAATGTAAACAAAGCTTACCACATGTTTGTTTATACTGTGCTTTATAAACACTTAGAAAATGGCTAACTCAATGAAGTTCACGCTGAGTTATTGCCTTCTAACAAGTTCAGCTCACTAGAAAAGAGTTATTGGTGTTTTACCGTGCAGCTGTGTTGCAGAACAGTGCAGTTGTCTGTTTTGCTTGGGGTTTTTTGCTTTTTACTGCCATTCAAAAAATGTCTGCATCTGCTTTTCCGACAGTATTTGGCACCTGAAGTTCTGCAGAAGCAAGCCTACGACCGTACTGTGGACTGGTGGTGCCTGGGTTCTGTGCTGTATGAAATGCTGTATGGACTGGTGAGTATTGCTTTGTGTGTGCCTCTTGTATCAAGACAATGTGAGCTCATGTGTATTCCAAAACTTCTTTTGTATATTTTCCTGTGTGTTTGCGTGTCGGCTATGAACCTCTTTATTAAAATTTTGCAGTATTACGAATAATAGTGTTTAACCCGGTTTGACAATTGTTCCTTCTGTTTGGATGCAGTGTAACTTATCTACATTGTATGTATGTAACTTTTGATATTGTTTATCTGCTAAAATAATCTGTAAGATTATCTGTATGGATACATGCAGACGCCCCTGTTTTGGGATTAAAACCAGGAATGAGGCCATCATGAGTTGTCTTTCCATGATCGATATTGTCAGCAGTTTATTTGTAAAATGAGCTTTCTGCCATCAGAGGGCTGCTGGGTTGCAACTGACTGTTACTCCTCTCCCTCTCTTTCCCCAGCCTCCGTTTTACAGCCGCAACACGGCGGAGATGTACAACAACATCCTGCACAAGAGCCTGGTGCTGAAGCCCAACGTGTCCAATGCAGGCCGAGAGCTGCTGGAGGGCTTGCTGCAGAAGGACCGCAGACGCAGACTGGGGGCCAGGGATGACTTTGTAAGCACAGCACATCTGACACTGCAGGAGCACTCCAGTGACAGACGCACACACATCACACTTTTCACACCCACGCTCCCTCTGTCGCACTGTGCACACGCACACTCGTCCAGATGGGACCCGCTCTCCAGACTCCAGGATCCCATTGTCATATTTAGCAAATGAAAAAGCTATGAGCTTCAGTTTACAACTAACGTTTTATAAATGCACAAAAGCATTACATCTTAAGCCTTAACACACAAGAACTGTGTGTTGTAGTAAAACAGCCATTAGTAGTGAAATGCCAATGTATCTTAGGCTTTGAAAAATTTCTGGATGGTAATTTGATAACTGCTCATGCAAAGTGTTCTATTTTAAGTTTCTCTTAAGTTGAAAATGTAATGTAAAGACACTACTGTGTTTGTTTCAATAGGTCAATTTATTTTTCTCTCTTCACAGTTGGAACTCAAGTCTCATGCCTTCTTTTCCCCGATAAACTGGGATGACCTTGTGGCAAAGAAAATCACCCCTCCCTTCATCCCAGCTGTGGTGAGTACCATTTTGGAGGAAACAGTTGCTATTTCTGTGGTGTTTTTCTTTAGACTGAAGTAAAAAATCTTCAACTACTCTTGTTCATCTTAGCCATGCACTACTGATTATTCATTCTAAGTGTTGGAAAAAATACTTCCCATTGAAACCTAAGATGTTTTTTAGTCCTACTGTAGAGTTGTTTGCAGTACCAATGTACACTCTACTTTGAGGTAGTAACAAACTACCATATTTTATTGCCCATTTGTAGGGCTTGAAATACATTTGTTTTTTACAGTTGTAAAGCTGTGGGCAGAATTGTGTATCGGGTATCTGGACATGGGCTCTTGTTTCATTTTACAGTCCGGCCCCACTGACCTTCGACACTTTGACCCCGAGTTCACCCACCTGCCCGTGCCTGGTTCCCTTGGCAACACGGACAGTATCCTGGTAACCAGCAGCGTGCGGGAGGCAGCAGGTGCCTTCCCAGGCTTCTCCTACGTGCCCCCTGCTGACGACGCCTTCCTGTAGGGCCGCTGTCCTCTCCCCTCCCAGAGCAGCGCACGGGCGCTGTGAGGGCGGGCCAAGAGGAGGAGCGCCCCTGCAGAAGCTAGGGGGCGCCTCTCTGTGCGCCGCCGCATGACGGCGGATGGGGTCAGAGGCAGGACTCGCCCTGGCGTTCGCTGGAGACGAGTGGACTTGACGTGCTCGGCCGTACAGAGGCAGCTGGGCAGACGACGGTTCCTCTATCCTTTCTCAAAAAGGACGAACAGTCACCAAGGTGGGCTGCCCTGCGGACTCCTGGCAATTGTGATTCCCCATTCCGAAAGCACCCCTGTCCTCGCCGATGCGTGTTGAGAACTTCTATCCTGAGTTACTAATGAAGAAACCCTTGCCAGCTGAAGGATCTCGGCATCCCAGTGGATTGGAATGAAAGGACCCAAGACATTGAATGTTGTGGGCGTGTGGTGTACCGTACGTGCTATGGAGGGTGGGGGATGTTAGCTAGTTGCTTTGGACATTGGCTGCTGCTGAGTGCATGTATCTTGTGTTGATACCAGCTTTAGGGGAACGCCTTTTGGATTTTTAAATTTGTATATGTTAAAGTTATTTTTATACAAATGCTGCATTGCACTCCATGAAGTTAGGACTGAATGTGTGAGGTGTATTATAGGAAAGGTTTTAGCAGAGGTTGACTTTACAGAGAGGGGTGCTTGACACAGGTTTCAGTGTGTACAGAGTCCGAAAGAAAATGGTGCACTTTGTAATTTTGAGCTGTTGCACACCTCTGTGTCAAATACGATGTTCTCCACTGTCTTTCCATGGAGAAATCGCACTTTCCTGGAAAACACATAAAGGCATTATTGGCACTGATTTAAAAAAAAAATGCCAGCGAGTGTGGTGATTTAAGGTTACCTTGACCTCAAGTGAAAGATCTTCCTATGAGGCACTGCAAGCAGACTGGTGCTAACACTGTGCTAGAGAATGCTGACATGTTGGGAAAGTTCCTATTGTTCAAATTGCACTTAAAATGTTAAGTCACAAACCACTCCTGGTCTTTGTGTAGAGTGGCAATTTTGTAGCTCCTTTCTCAGTCCACCGTGGAGAATATTTTCTTCTGATAGTCCTAATCCTGAATGTATCTACCCCGTTAAACATATAGAGCAAAACATGAAGGACCTTCATTTTACATAATGATTCCATCAATTTATGGAAGGATGTAAGGTGCAGAGTATGAACTAGTTTTATTGAATAAGTTCTATTTTATATACCTACAGTGACCTTATAGGTCTGAGTTCCACTGGACAGGCTGCGCTGTTTGATGAAATGAGATGGAGAAAAGCTTCCTGTCCTGAGGCACTTGGATCCACGGAGTTAGTCTGTCCTCTGAAGGTGTAGTCATTGTAAACAGACCTGGCAGGTATTTTACAGGATGACTGTTTTATTGCACTGTAGCTGGAAGTAATTAGGAAAACCCTTCTTGGAGTATTGGGTTCTCCAAACTGTGACCAACATCCACTGGATCTTTTCACACTTGAGGTCATTTTCAGTCTTCTTCCAACTCCTAACACTTCTGCCAGCAGTCACTGTAAACTGCCAGATACTGTAAAGCATTGACACAATCATTGCCTGTTTTTATAAATGTATATTATAAAAATCTTAAAGTAAGTGGATGCAATTTGCTTCCACTGCATTATGAATATAACTCCTCTACTTTGTTTTTGGAGGAGAGAACAAATGTGTAATATGATTATGCAGATATCACTTTGCCAGCATTAAAAATAGTGGTGAAAATCAGAATGGGGGATTTTTTTTTCCCCTGCCATTCTGTTTGCAAACACTACTCAATGGCATTAAGATGATATGCATCCTGTACACTGGGCACTCCCAGCATTGGAGTGGGGGCACAGCCCAGCAGCTTTTATTTAGGCTGAGCTCTGTTACACAATTGGGTCCTTAATTCAATGGTGGAATTAATTTGAACTCTAAATCCTTTCAGTTCCTAAATTTAGTGGGATATTGGATTTTAGACATAATGCAAGATCTACAAATTAAGCAGAAACGCAGGAAAGGTTCCAATCATAGGATGTGCTAATTCAAATAATGGGCTCAGCGGGCATGTGATGTGTGGGTTTCCCCAGGATCAGGGCTGGGAACTTCTGCTGTAAATTGTACCTAATTTGAGGCGAGAGGATGGCCTCCTGTTTTGTACAGCAAATATGTAGAATGTTGTGATGCAAAGAGGCCTGGCCCTACAGGTTCCTTCTTTAATCGCTGTTCTTTTTCCATGGTCTGCCTCACCAATTCGTTTCATGGCCATGAATCAGCTCTCAACCAGTTCCAAACAAAGCTCTGTGATTTTATGTCTTCACACAACTGTTACTCTCGGGTCTCATGTTGACACTAGCAGGGAAAGGTGGTCGATGGGGCTAAAGTGGTTGAGTGTTATCTAGGGAGTTCTATACTTCATGTTTGGCTTTTTGTCTTGCCCAGTGCAAGGGGAGCGGTCTTGAGTTTATTCATGGACACAGACTTGCTCTTGCAGACTGAGAACTATTTCATGATGTAAACTCAGTTGAAAGAAGGCTTTCATTTACTACTGCCTTCATTCAATGAATGCAAGTGCAAGCACTCAAAAGCACCTTGAACACGCCTGATCTCCTCAGATCATGGAATTTAAGCAGGGTCAGTCCTGGTTAGCAACCGAATGGGAATCCACCTGGCAAAATGTGGTGCTGTAAGTTTTGTGTACGGCCAGATGCCCATATAATATAATTTGCACATTGCTTTGGGTTGTGAAAGCTAAAACTACCAGCTACCCACATGGTCCAAGAGGTTGGATCAATTAACTAATAACTCCCAAACAGGCTAGATAGGCCATTAGGCCTCCTCTTGCTGGTAACTGTTTTTAAGAACATAAGGTTCCAAACAAAACAAGGCCCATCGGTTGATCTTGCTCGTTTGGTTTCCCTATTGCTATTCTTCCTGCTTCAACTGACTTAAGTTGTAGAACAGTACACTAACTCATACATTTCTTTTGAAAAAAGAATCTCCCCCTCAATAATCTTGTGGGAGTTTGCCTATTTCAGCGGCCTTGGAAAAAGATGCCTTGTGCTAAGATGATGTGATCAATCAAATCTCGTGGCCCTGGCACGTCCACGGGTCTAACACCCACTGCTTCAGTCAAAGAGGCAAGAAACTTATTGGTGCTGGCTTGGCCCAGAAAGATGGGTATCTACTTCAGTTATTGAAGCATGCTCCCTATACACATTAGACTTCTTTTGGCACAGTGAAAAATTAAGTTGTAGTAGTGCTATATCTTCCCTCTTCAGCTGCATGCCAATGTTAGGAAGAGGCTCTCACTGCTGCTTAAGAACTGAGACGACTCAGTGAGGGGGTCTTTTTAAAAACTTTCTAGGAGAGTAATGATGACCTCCAAGTTGTTCCAATGTACAGCTTCTGCCATAGAGACTGAAGCTAATTATACAGTTCCAGTGTTGCAATTTCTTCCATATTTGGAAGTCTTTCAGTTTTCTTTGGTTGTTTTTCCACCTCTTATTTACACGTTGTAAGCATAAGTATACCTACTGTACTTGATAGCTGGAAGAGTTATTGCTAAAGAAACATTGCAGATCTGTAACAAATATGATAATAAATCAAAGAAACTATGGAGTGGCATGCCTGTTTTTCCACTTGTATAATTGGGCTGGGTATGGGTATTTTTGTCACACTGGTGAGTTTCCAAAGGTACAGATATTGACTTTAGGAAACTAAGAGTTATAAAACTACGTATTATTTCTTCCTTCCCAGGATGTTGAATTCACTGGCTCTTACTATTTAAATTCCAAGGGTATCAAAAGGGAAACCTATGGTGGGAATCTATGACATTTTGCCACCACCTTAGGATTCTTGCGTGGAAGAGAGGGGAAAAAACTTTGCAGTCTACTTCCTCTCCCAGTTCCTTTTCACAGAGGGGTTCTTTAAAACGAAGGGTGAAACGGGAAGCACAGGACACCAGTGGAAACTATGCGAAAGTATGTTTAAAAACGAGAACAGGAGCCACATCTTCTCCCGCGGAGTTGTGTGTGCCCAGCCACAAGGATGAAGCCGAAACTTTGGCATCTTTCAAGAAACATCTGGAAGAGATCCTTGGATCAGTGGGCTATTAAGTGCCGAACAGTCTTGGTCTTCTCTCCTTTGATCTGTTGACTGGCGATTTAGTGTTTTATATTTTCTCATGCCAAGTATACTGTATTTGTCCTAATGATACAAAATCTTGATATGCTTTGGGTTTAAATCGGGGGTCTTTCTAAAGAATGGTACAGCTTGCAAAATGTGTCTATCAACAAAAAGGCCAAACCCAACTCTGGCAGGTTGTGCTTAGTGGTAGTGCACAAACCTTAAACCTGACTAAAAGTGCTAGGCGGTGATAGTGGCTTGTGGTGTTTTTACCCCAGCCCACAATAACCATGCTGTTGCAGGTTAATAATGTAACACTTTCTCATGATGGCCCAACTCCCCCCCCCTACACACACACCACATCAAGACTGTCTGGGGCGAGCCAGTGAGAGGACTTCACATCAGTCTCTAGGGTTTACTGGCTACGGGCTCTTTGAAAAGATGCGTCAACACCCAGAATTCCCTTTGCAGAATCTCTTAATGTACCAGTATTTGGGTAGAGGCTCCAGTTCCTCTCCAGACCACTCAAAGGGACAGTCCAGTGATCCAGATTTCAGTCCTACAACACTCCACAACGCAAACATTCTGGTGATCAATTTCTGGGGGAGAGCCACGTGCCTGTGTCCTCTTGGGAGGTTTGCAGTTAGTCACCGGTTATCCTTTCCCCAAGACTCGAAAGCAGCTACTACTACTGAAAGAATTTGTGATGTTTGTGCGGTGTTCCTTAATGGTGGAGTTACATGCTACGTTTTGGAAAATAAAAAGGATTGAATATGGTGCGTCTTGGGGAGTGCATGCTTCTTGTCAGGATAGGTTCCGGTTCCCCTGCGACCCTGAATTGGAAGAAACAGTTAGAAAATGGATGTCCTCTAAACTTATTTGGTATTTTATAAACGTGTTTCCCAGTTTTAGAAGAAATATAACTTGTTACCGGTACTGGCCATCTTAAGATCTCTTAAGAGAAGAGAGAGCTATTCTTCACTTCCTTTAAGAAACGTTTTAAATTTAATGAAATAGTGTAAATATTTGTCTTAAAAAAACACGTCACAAACATCACAAGTCCCACTACGCTACACTGAGCTGATTGGGGTTACATTCAGGGTATGAGGTAAGGTTATTGTGGACGCAAGCATGTTTTCCCTTGACGCCACGCCCACAATGTCGTCGCCCGTGACGTCAGCCCAGAAACGCAGGGCTTCAGCGAGCCAGTCCTGCATCTCCCCTAGCATGAAGAGATACGGATCTTCACAGAACATCTGTCACTAGATGGCACAAAAGAGCGGAGTACGACCTGACTATTATTTGCAACGTGCACAAATCATAACCACTCTGTGAAATCGCAGAACAGCGTTTTGTTTTACTGCCAACAGATTTTTTAATGGTAATAAAGCAATATAGTAATTGTTACTGCCATTAGACTAATAAAGGATTATTTATTAAAGCCACGCTTATTCCAAACATCTGTAAACCCACCTTTATTTTTTTATATACTGGTGGTATTTTATTCCTGGACATTCCTGAATTTTGTCAATGATGTAAGAGAGACAAGAATGAAGAAGAAAGAAGACAAAGGCAAGAAAAAAAAATAACTGTGCAACTGTGGGAAAGTAAAAGGTGAACAAAATATAGTAAATGATTAAGGGGGGCGTGCAAGCCTATTCCTTTTGTCCAACGGTACATCCATCTCCATCCCCTGATGTGATTACTTCTGACTTGTTCAGAAACGGGGGCTCTAAAACTCGCGAGAAATTAAAGACGTGGAGTCTAAATGTATTCCTTTAAACTCACCTTTTAATTCGCCGCACGATTTCGTTTTTGCGTGGCCAGGGTTAAATCTCTGTTTCTTTCCATCAGGCCCGAATGAGGATCCCCTCAATAAGTTGCGAAAAAGCCGGGAACTCGGCTTTTGTACTTAACTTAGTAACTCCAGTCCGCCCTCCTGCGGCGCTGCCTTCTGCCAAATTGTGAGCTTTCGCTCGCCGCCTATGAGCCAGGTGAAGGTGGACGCCTGCGCGCTACAGGCCGGCGGCACTTCCTGCTAAATAGTGCTCCCTGGCAACAGCAGGAGACGAGCGGAGTGGAATTGGTGCAAGGAAATTGGATAAGACGACCTGAAAACAAAATATCCTCATGGTAAGGTGTTTCTAGAATTACTTTTTGTGGAGCCACCGCTCTACGGGCCCTCTTCCCTTCACCTCTCCAGAATCCGTGCATTTTGATTTGTTGTGGAAGAGGTAGATACAATGCTCTTTACCGTTCTTGTTTGTAGCAAAGAAAGATCAAGTAAGCTTTTAAGTTTTTTCCCCCCCTGTCCTTCGGCTCAGTTGAAAGTTTTTTTTTTCCTCTTCTGATTTTCTACCATTTCATGCCAAACTTGTGAGAATTGAGGACAGCGGAATACGAATGATTTTCGATTGTTCCTTTCTGCTCTCTACGGCATGCAGCTCGGTTGCCCCAAACGGCGCAAAATGTAGTCATTATTGATCAATAATGTCCAGTTACTTTATCTTTCTTAAGAGTTGTTCGGTGATAGAAAATGGAAGCGCTGCGACTCCGGGAAAGGTATAAGCAGATGGATCCCTTAAGTGTGTTCACCTTCTTGTTTCTGTCCTTGAATCGGCAACCGTTTTTTTTTCTCGGTGTTACAAATTAAACAAATGCTGACTGCCATGCTCGTCGAAGTCATCCCGAAAAATACGTACAGGCTGCACCATTAGATGGGCAGATTAGCCAGCAATTAGCAGTATAAACAGACCATTAACCTTCAGCGTCTGATCTATTGTGGACTATTTGAAAACCTAGAACACTTTAAAAAAAAGCCGGTGTGACCTACTCGTTTACCATTGATACAGAAATACCGTCTGAATGGGAAAATATTTGTCCCGTTTGCTGTTTCATGCCATCTCATTTTCTTAAATTATGTCCCGCACGTGTGTCAACAAAGGAGACCAGCTGCCTTCACGTACGGGCTGGGCTGAGGTCCGGAATGCCTGCCAGCAAACGCGTTTTTCCTGCAGATCTTTTCATCTGCGCCGTGCTTTTCGATTCGCCTCTTGAAATGCTGCGGTTTTTCTGCAATAACCCTGTACCTGAGGGTATTATGTTGTTTTTTTGTTTGACTCTGGGGACTAAAATGTCACAACCTGCTGTAGACTTCCGTCGATTTGTGTGGCGTGCGAGTTGCTGCAGTTCTCAATTGGGCTTCAAGCGGCTCTTTTTATGTTTTCATCATAATTTGCCGCACAAGTTCCCGAGCCGCTGGTTCCATTGTCGAGACCCCTCCGTTATTGTTATTTTTTAATTCTTCAAGTTTTCTTTCTATTCTGAAATGTTCTGGGATGCTCTCACTTCTGTTTTCAAGTACAGATCAGTACATACTTGATCTGCCGCAGTCATCTCCGGCTCTCATCTGCGAGAACCCCAAATCGCAAAGTGGCATGGGGCAATCTAAATCGCTCATTTCGAAACCGATTTTTTAAAAACACTTCTTTTAATCACTAAATCAAGTAATGCGCCAAGTTAATGAAACTTAGAGCTTAAGAGAGCTGAGAATTTTGTGTTCCAAATGATCTGTAAATATATTGCCTGCAATTCATCCCAAAGTCCCGTTTTGAGCGTTAATACAAATTGTTTTTCAAGAGAGTAAGAATTGATTTTTCTCTTCATCTTTACCATACATGGTATGTGGCCCAGCTATTCTCCATGTTCCTCAACATTTTGAAGAAATTAAACAGCTGGCACACCTTGACAAAGAACTGGAAAGTAGATGACCAGGAAGCTTACACGGTAGTCTGCATACTGTTTTTTAACACAAAGAGATTTGTTTTAAAAATCAGCAGTCGTCGAGCCTTAACCGGGAGGGGAGCAGGATGAGGTGAGACCGAGAGCTGAAACAACGATAAGCAAAACCCGGGAAATGTGTAGCTGTATGCATACTAATAATAATAAAGTTTATTTATAGAGCACCTTTCATACAAATAGCAGCTCAAAGTGCTTTAAATCTGCAGTTTAAATTACGTTACTGAGATTAGGGGTTTCCTTGACTATTTTAAGTGCAGCAAACTGCTTTATGTATCCCTGGGGATGAAAGGGGACATTCTTGACTGTTTTGGATGGTGAACAATATTAAGTTAGAAACCAAAAAGAATTTTCAGGATGCACATCAACTGATCTGTTTATACATCTTAAATTTGCAAAAAATATTCATATCCTGTTCAAAGAGAAGGCCCCCCCTTAATGTCTGCTTAAGATTCTCAAGCTCGTCTTTCCACTTTCAACTTTAAAGCTGCCGTGGGCTTTCTGGTCTGAGTGCGTTAAACCTGTAACATCTAAAAAATAAGAAAACCATCTGTGATATTGGCATTTTTTCCCCTGCCAAATAAAACATTTTTTTTTTCTGTTTATCATTTAATTTACAGTTAACAGTAACTTCTCTTTTGTGAAGAAAAACCCTGTACCTTACGTGACTTATACCCAAGATTAACATTCATCATTTTGTCAGGCAGAGTTCATTTTTTGTAGACATATAGAATCATATTTAAAAAACAACAACAACTGGATTACAACGTTACATTTATAAGCATCTGCTAACTGCTGGACAAGAGAGAGGATTGAACAACATACGTTACCAGATTTGTGGTGCTGTTCGGGCTAGTAGATGGCAGACAGAGGTTAGACTGTTTTGCTGGTGATCACAAGCTTTCTGTACCTTGTGGCAGAAACTAGATGGTGGGGTGGCTGCCAGGTATGGTTACGGGGATATTAAAATAATACGTATCTAGGCACAGCTCTAGGAAACTAGTCACAGGCTTCAGTTCTGGGTAGATCAAGTTCTTTGCAGCAGCCAAGACAATCCATATCTCAAAACAGCAGTGCGTGCATACCCTGTGGCAAGACGTCTCCAGGTCAGGTTGTAAAGTGTCAGTTCTGCATAACCTGAAACCTTGTGCTTCAGTATTGATTGGGAAGGATATCTCTGGGATGAATGTGCCTTCAGGGAAAAGCAACTAATCTTTAAAAAAAAAATGCTTAGATCCTACATCAGTGATTCCCAATCCTGGTCCTGGTGAGACACACACACACACACACACGTTAGTTGTTGTTCCAGTTTAGCTTACACAATCAAACCCTTCATTGACTTAATAATAAGATTAATTTGAATTGTGTTCCAGCTCTTAAAAAATGTTCCAGCTGTAACTGTTGCATTTTGTAAGTGAAATGAAATCCCGAAGTTGTGACTAGAAACAAAATGCAAATATTTCATTCAAACTCTTAGATCAATGAACTTGAACTTTATTTGCCATATGTAACCAGTACATGTACTGGTACAATTTAATTTTTACTGACAGAAAGTCTCTCCATTGTTATAAAAAAAAGTGTAGAAACATGAAGTGCTGACAGTGCATCGAGACAATATACAAACAAACAGAATGTACAAGTAAACAGTTTGAATTTAAACAATTCAGACATGTAAACGATGACTGAAGATGTGCAATAAATAATAAATTATAATGAGGTAGATGGTGTAGGTGTGGTCTGGCTATCTACAACACCATATTAAGGCTATCATCCTAGGATCCTAGGTGGATATACTGTAGAGGACACAGAAATTCTGAAATAACCATAATACTGATTTGAAATACTTTTTTTTTTAAATCAAGCAACTGGATATTTTAAAATAAAAACTTCATACTTTGTATCTGGTATAGTAGTATTTTTGGTTTATTAGTTATTTCTCATCCTTGCTGAAATATATATATATATTTTGAAAATGCATTGTCTTTACATGCAGACATATTGAAAAGAGAAGTCTTGACAATGAGCAGAAGAAGGGGTTACGAATAAGAGGAGCATATTCTTGGGATGTTAAATGTACAAATAAAAACAAAAATTGTGAAAATGACGGTTTATTGGAAAGTGGTGTTTTTTTAAAATATATAAGCACTTCACCCCTGTGACTGAAAGTCTGTTTTCTTAATTAGCGTTGAGCATCAGTATTATGAGATGCAGGCTTCTACACCTTGTGATGTTAAATCAACATCATTTTTATATAAAATTTGCAGGGAGCAAATTTTTTTTTTTAATTGTTCAATCCTCCCACATGTCTTGTATTTTGAAGTAGTAGTTTGACCTATTTTGCCCTTTCGTGTTTAATATGCCGGTTATATAAATGCTCCAGTAAAGAGGAAAAAACAGGTTAGATCTTATCAACTTTGCCTATTGACAAGATAGCTTGAATTTGATCACTTAATGCATCTGTTATGATCCTTTATGAATTTTCTGCTAATTACGTATCGCATTAATCATATCTAGGTTAGCTGTAATGTCCCCATTTACCTGAAGTCTTTGAGTCGCGCTGTGTATTTTGGTACATCACATGTGAGCATATGCTTTGGTTTTAATCTTTCTGTAAACAAATTGATGTACCGATTTGAAAGCCATCTGCAAAGCACATGCATCACCTGCAAATCCCGTGCCTGTGATTAACAAAGTGTGCTCCACTTCCTGCTTTCAGGTGATGTTTTTGCACTAACCTATTTGATACATAGGCCTTAACTGCCTTAGAAAAAAAATCACACACCCCTCACAAAACATATTTAAAGGAGTGCAAAATGTTTGTTTTCTGAAACAGGGTTCGGTGGGTCTCCAGAGCATCGGAGAATAACCTGCGGAGTGCTGCTACAGGGCTGAAGGAAGACCCAGTCTTCTGCCTTGCGATGGATGAATCCCAGGAATTGACAGAACTGCCTGTGAGTACTGGGGCTTTTCTGCACTGACTTGCTGACTGTCCTGCCAGTACTCTGTACTTATGGCACTGAAGACCATTAAAACTAGCCAAAATGGAACCAAGAACAAAACTATTCTTTCTGTCGCCATTGCTTATGCTAAAAGCGTAAGATTTTATATCGCAATGTGACTCTATCTTCATCGCTTTTGCAGATTTGTGAACGACCATCCTAAGTTGTCTTAAGTTATACTGAAGTCTTTCAAGCAGGCACCTGTGTCAGCATGGGTGGGCTGCAAAGGAACAAGTAATAGTTTATTCCTGTGCTGAAAAGAAACAACGTTTTGGCTGTGAAGCCTTCTTCTGGTGTCAAGGCTCCACAGCCTAAACGTTGTTTCTTTTCTTCTCTTTTCAGCAGGGAATAAACCTTTGCTTGTTCCTTAAGTTATACTAGTTGTATATTGCAGGTAAAAAAAGAGAAAGGGAACTTTCTGCACACGCAAAATCTTCCTGCCTTCAGTGTGAATTAATACATCTCTCCTGTCTGTAATAAGGGCTACAGAACGTAAGGTTTTTATTGGTTATGTAATTGCGTCTAATTAGGTCTGTGATGCTTTTTGTGGTCTTAACGTTAAAAGATTGAAAGATCTTCTTCAAACGGAGATCTTAAATCTTGAAGATCTTTATTGAAGCAAGTCGATACTTTGAATGACTATAATTGCTTCTTAGCATTACAGGAGAATTTAAAAATTATTTTGCTAATCTTTTAGAACACAGAATGTTTTGTATTATCCAGGAGTTAAGACGTAAATGAGTCTTTAGGCCAATCTCAAAATGTAGCTGGAAAACCTAACGGGACATAGGTAAGTTTTAAGGGTCACTGTGCGACCAAAAATAAACACCAGAATTGCATAATGAAATGTGCTTATCAAGGTGAGATGTGATTTTTCCCACCCTTTGAAGGTGAGGTGCATGAAAACCATTTGAAACCTGCTTGAACACTGTGAGGAAATCCATCTGCAATTGAGTCTTCCGTGTAGAGAAACAGTAATAGAAGTCATTTTAATAATTGTAATAATTTAATAAGACACCTGGGGGTGAGAGTGCACATTATATATCTTCATGCGTAAAAGAAAATACTTGTATTTGTACAACAGTTTGGATTCCACCAAAGTGAAATACGAGGAGTTTAATAAAATCTCTGAGAGGTTATAGATTTAATTATAATTAAAAGTATTTTTCAGTGCAACCAATGCCCGTATTTAAATTGGGTATTTGTTTAATTTATGTTAACAGGGAAGTCTGTTTAGATTAGGGATGGGTGATAAATATATTGCAATATTTAGCCATTATAGACAAGGCACTGTACCATTTTAATTAAGATTTTTTTATGTGTACTTCTAACATTATTATATATTCTATGATGCAGAGAATGACCAGTGCGTTGGGATTTTTGCATTTCTAAAAAAGTTTTTAGGCGTGCAATATACGTTTCATAATATGCATAAGAAATATTTGACACAAGCTGCAGTTCTCTTTTGTGACCCAAGTCTGGGACAAGCATTGACTGACAGTGAACTAGGGTTCTGTTAGAAGGGAGGCAGTGTACAGAGGCACAGCTATATTATACATTACAAAGGAAAGACTGGCATTATAAAATGGAGTAAATATATTCACTTTAAGTTTCAGAATTCTGAAATCAAATCCGATGTTTTATAAAGGCTGTGTTCTGAGAGGACACAGTACTAACACAATAAGGAATGATACGTAAAGCAGGTGGAAATTATCAATAAACAGACAGCATAATCCAAAGAACAGTATTTTAAGACCTTTGCTTTTACACATTTACACAGAGATTTTTCCTATTCTCATAAATTCTTTACTACCAGCAAGAACTTGAATGTCAAAAGGGAAACTTCCAGTGATCATAAATTCTAAATATAGAAGAATTAATCTGTGATCCCATCTGTGAAAATTCCACTCTGAAAAGTTGAAAGAAAACGTGTTTCTGCCGGTGAGTGTTTTTCCAGTGTGAGGGTGAGAGAGGAAAGTCTCAGGACTATGAAGTCAAGGAGAACCAAGGACAGAGAATGTAAGAAAGAGGGATATCTGAGGGTTGGTTTCCTCCAAACGGTTTTTTTTCAATGAATGCAGTTTTTAAAAAGAAAGTAGTATCATCAAACCAACCATTACAGTATTTTAAGATCTTTCATTGTATCTCCTAACCCTGATATGGCGATTTCTTAGATGTAACATCTGTAGTGCAATTTAGGAGTTGCATCATTAAAGTCATTTTAAGTGTTTTCTTTTCTTTGTGTGTGTTGCTTTTTTTAGGCAAAGAAAGCTCGGCATGAGCTAAAAGACTCTGAAGAAAAGGGGCCCAGGTTTGTCATTTCAATCTCCGCATGCCTAACTCTGCTGTTTCTCAAAGCCATCATTCTGTTGTTTCTGCATGTGTCTTCTCCCAATCTGTATCCCTCTCTTCTCCGTCTCTCTCCTTGTGCAAGTTTCAATACGGGGAATGAAAGTCCGCTGTGCCGGGGTTTCTTTCTAAACCATTTGAACACTAGACCCTTTAGACAAAAGGGATGCGATCTCAGCACTCCTTCGATGGTGCTTGTCTTTGCCAGGGTGGAAGGGATGGCAGAGAATGACAGCCAGCTGGGCGGAGGAGAATCGGCTGTTCTTAAGACAGACTCTGACACTTACACACTGTCTGGCGAAACCCAGCTCGGCGAAGGTGAGTTGTCTAAGGAGCGAGAGGGGTCAGAGTGAAATGCCCCATAGTCACTTCGGCACCTTATCCCAGTCTTTTGGCGGTCGGTTAGAATAATCTTTTTTCATGTTTGACATACCAGAGTTATAGTGGTTCAGTCCTACAGTCCACTAGTGATGCCCATGTACATTTCCATGCTAACTAGCTCTGCTGTTGGGGACCATTGGTGTGAAACTGTGACGCTCTCTGCTTGCTGGTTGTTGCAGTTAAGCGGGAGCAGTCCGGTCCTGGGAGTGAGTCCTGTGAGCCGATGGGGGGTGACCCACTGACCACCTACAGGGAGACTGGTACGCTTTCCAAAACCCAAAATAACATCTTTGGAGGATTATATCATTTTGCACTTTCCTGTCATTTTGGGTTTTTTTTTCCCAGCCATGTAAAATCCTGTGTTTTCTGTAAGGTTGTTATTATTGCTGCTGTTACAGTCTGCTCTGCAGCACAGGACATTGAATGCATTCATGCAGGTATAGATTGGTTTGAAAAGAGAGGATCTTTAGCTCTTAAGCTCTTTCCCTGCTGAGAAATAAACCACTATTTAGGGAAGTTATTATTCTTTTCATGGTTGTGTTGTAACGCATATAAATGAAAATTCCCTTCTTTTGTGTGAGTTCTGTGCACTGTTCTTAGAAATGTAATAAAAGTAAAATCCTGCACTATGTGAATGCAGTATTTTGTTACAGAAAGCATATAATCATTTAGGGTTTATATACGTTCACTTTTATCCTTTTGCCAACAAAGCTATTTGAGATGTTCTTTCAGTTTTGGTAGTTGTTGAGTTTCTGAGTTAAGTACAGAAATAATGGGATTTGAGTCCATTATAATTATTGAAAACAAGCTTATGTTGTTAATAACTGATTAGCAATTAAAATGTCAACTTTCATGCAGACCCCAGTCTTAATTTCAGCATTTGCACGTTGCACTATAGAACTGAATTTTCTGCTTGAATTGGTTTTTTAATGTTGTGGTACTTTCATTGCGATTTTGATGCCATTAAAAATAACTTGTTTTTCCAGCTGTAACCTGTGCAGACCTTAACACAAAGACGTCAAATGAATATACCTCACAGATGTACCAAACAAGCAAGTAAGTCTGTTCATTTCACAAAAGGCGTATTTATACAACGCTCTGCTTTCAAGTTTTGAAAAAGCACTGATCCTATAACACAAAAAATTACTTCAGAGTGTGGTATGAGGTGGGGAGTCTATAATGTGGTTTAGTGCTCTGTAGTATTAGTGTTTTAAGTCTTTATACTATGATGAAATGATCTATAATGACGCAGAGTTCCTTGTATTCATTTTTTATTCAAATAGAAAGTGATCCATTCATAATAGAGCAAACTATGACTGTGGCGCAAGTTGTTATATTTTTTGATGTACCTCTTAAAATAGGACGCTTCAAAACAGTGCCCTATTGCGGTTCCTCTGTACATAGAGCACATTAAGTGCCCACAAGCTTGCTCTGTGGTTGTGCATAAGCTTAATGCCGAAGCATTATTGTATGTTCACAGGCCCTACACGCACATCCTTTCCCCGGCCATCACGTCGTACTCCACACAGTCTCAGTTCCCCGCTGTTGCTCAGTCCACCATCTACACTGCCTACCCACAAGGAAGCCAAAACTACGGTCTACCTCCCTTTGGTAAAGAGTTTTCCACTGCTTTCTGGAGTGCGGAGAGGGGAGAATGTTTTGTTTGCACTGTTGTCACTTGTAACGCCCTTCATTTGTAAAAATTTGTCATAACGGCAAAAGCTACTTGTATTCTCATGTAAGGACATTTTGAGACTTTGTTCAGTGTTGATACAGAATTGATATAGACGGATCAAGATAATGCTGCCGTGCCTTTTTCTCTGTGATTTAAATCTGTTAAATTTCACGTACAAGCTGGTTGTTCGCCGTGTCTTTCACTTCTTTAAAAAACATGAAACTGTTATTTCTAATGATCTTTACAGAGCAATTCCTTCTTGGTGTGAATTTTGTTTGTAAAATATATATGGTGGTGGTGGAGGGGAGTCCCCATTACCTGTAAAGCGCTTTGAGTGGAGTATCCAGAAAAGCGCTATATAAGTGTAAGCAATTATTATTATTATTTTATTATATAGGCATTGCTAATGCAAAAAGAAATTCAGTATTATCTTACTGAATTACTTCAGTAATTTAGAGTGATTTCTTTAAATCAATCAGTTCTCATTATAGTGTTATACTTCATGTATATATATAAAAAAAATGGCCAGAAACGCATGCCAAGGAAGAACCACTGTAGAAAAAGCACATTTGTTTTGCACTGAAAGTCATTTATGCCATTCGGTTGTTTACGTGCCATCGTGTCCTGCAGGCGCCATGTGGCCTGGCATCAAATCTGAGAGTGGACTGTCGGAGGTGCCTCCGGTGGGACAGCCTAGCTTCCTGAGCTTCAGCACAGGCTATACCTCAACACCGCCTGGGCAGGCACACTACTCCTACCCCAGCCAAGGCAAGTGGTCTCCCTCCCTTTACATTACCAGCCACGGGCCGCCCTTGCAAGACCACCTGAAAGCCAGGCGTGAGGAAGTCCTCCAGCAGAGGAGCCATCTAGGGTGGGCGGACAAAACACATCTCAGTGCAAAGGCTAGATTAAAGAGAACATCGCTCCAGGAGCAACTTTAAAACTGCTGTTTTTCAGAAGAGTGTCATTGAGCTGGGAGGTCTTTTCCCCCGTCATCCAGCCTGGCAGCTAAAGTTTCCATGTTGGTTTTGAGGTGGTGGTCGTTTTGCGTTTGACGTGTGCTTTATCACACCTCTTTATCTGTTCGTTTGTTTGTCTTCCCTGTAAACATGTTTTTTCCTGTGTGCCTTCACGAACTGGCAGTGCTGGTATCGCATTGCTTGTGCTGACGATTCTTGCACTCGCTGCCCCCTGGTGTTCATGGGGGAGGCACATATGAGCACCTTGTAAGCTTACTCCACTTTTGTCAGTGAAGTGTCTTTGTGGATTTTCTCCTCTTTGTAGCATCAAATTAAAATATAATGAACTGGAAATGTTCAAACTAACAAATGTTTAAATAAGCAAACGATAGGGAAATGACAAAAATGGTTGTCCGTTTCAGCCTCCAGTTTCACCACATCAAGTGTTTATACAAATATCCCCAGTGGGACTGCAGCTACCACAGCTACAGCTACTGTAACAAATCAAGTAAGTGCCTGTGTTTGAACATTTACATTTTAAGGTTTCTTGTCATTATGAATAACCTGGTCACTCTTGTAATTGATACGTTTAGAATTAAGCGCCAGTGTTTTGGAGTTTTGTGGCATTCCACCACATAATTAACTCAGAAAATATAAAAAATGAAGCAACTAATGTGAAGATTTAAGATGCTTTAGGGTTGTTCTCCAGCTAAAACAACCTCTGCTGCCATCTCATGCTTTTTTGTGTCACCCATTTTAATGGTCAGGAGAATAAGAAGTGTCCACAAGGCATTAACTGCTGAATTTCGCATTCTTTGCCATTCCTCCACTGATTATAGGAGTATCCCAATTACACCCCCCTGGGACAGAGCCAGTACCCCCAGTATTATGCTGCCCCCAGTTATGTGTCGGCTGGGATGCCCAACAATAGTGGGGGTACAGAGAGTGTGAATGTTGCAGGCTACCCCAGCATGAAGACTGACAGCCCTGCTACAGCTGATCTGCTCACTGCTACAGGTACCCAAGTGCTTTAAATCTCTATTAAGCCACATACTGAATGATGCATTGACTTATATAAAAGTGGTGAATTGTGTGATTTTATTTTCAATTAATTTTGTTTTAGTCATTTATTAAACTTTATGGTGCAGACTATGGATAGCACAGAGGTCATTACTGTTACCTCGCAGTACTGGTGACCTGGGTTCAGTTCTGGGGGTTCTCTCTGTGTGGAGTTTGAATGTTCTCCCCAAATTTGAATGGGTTTCCTCCAGGTGCCCCTGTTTCCTCTTACAGTCCAAAGACATAGTAGGTAGGTTAATTGGCTTTTGTTAAATTGATCCTGGTGTGAGTGTGTGTGTTTGTGTCTGTCTGCCCTGCAATGGACTTGTGTCCCATCCAGGTTGTACCCTGCTTTGCACCTCTTGCTTGCTGGGATACACTCCAGTTCTCCCACAACCTTGAATGGAACGGAGCGGTAAGGAAATGGATGGTACAGGCTATTAGAAGAAAACATTTGGAGTTTTTTCAAAACCCATCGCAGTTATCTAGTGACTTGGTCTGTTCTTCAAAGGTCTGTATTCGTTAGAACTCGTAAATGTGGAGGTTTTGAAAATCACCCTTCTGTTTCCAGACTCCGCAGCTGGTGTGCCAGCCTCCACCGGCTCCAGGGACCACGAGGAAGCAGGCCGGAGAAACAGCACCGGGAAGGCCAAGAGCAAAGGGAAAAAATCGGACACTTCCCAGCCTGCCAATAACGACCTGGAGGTACTTTCCACAGCCGCAGTTCCTCCGTCTCCCTAGCTGTTCAAAAGTTTGATGAGTGCTGTGTAGTTCACTCGGTGATTGATAGTAGATTTTCATCGGCAAGAAGCAAGCTTGAATTGGCTTATCAGCATGGCTCGTGCTTTCACCCCTGTAGCTTAATTCACTCCCTTCCAGGTGCTATAAACGCTCCTTACAAACTTATTGGATGTCTAGCTTATCTAGAACTTAAAACAGACCTGCATGAGAATTGTAAAAAGGGGAAGAGTACATTCAAATGTTCCATCTGTTCTGAACTTTAGACACAAGCATGACGATCAGAGCCTTCAAATAAATTCTGGCATTTGAATCGGTGTCTGTTTAGGCTCAGTTGTAAAAATTATAATGCGGTCTAGATGATGCCTGTTTAACACCTTCTGTGTGCCATTATTTTTCTCCCCTAGCGTGTTTTTCTCTGGGATTTGGATGAAACCATTATCATCTTCCATTCGCTGCTCACAGGCTCCTTTGCACAGAAGTTTGGCAAGGTAAAATCAATCTGTAAATGCTTTTATCCCTGCCTTGAAAATTATGCCATTGATGTTCACTCAGTTCCAATCTAACCTGCTTTTATCAGCCTATTTGCAGTTGTTAGTCATGGTTCCATCACGTAGGCCTGTTATTCACCAGCAGTGTTTCTATATTTCCACTAGGACCCAACTACAGCTCTCACCCTAGGGTTACAGATGGAAGAGCTGATCTTTGAGCTTGCAGACACACACTTGTTTTTCAATGACCTGGAGGTGAGTTCTCTGTGCGACCTTGTGTTGAACATTGCAGAGTCTAAATTGAATCTGCAGTCTGAGTTGAATGAGATGACAACTTACAGCTGAGATGACTGTTGTACACGGAAGACAAGAAAGGAAAAAGTAAAGGTTTATTCAATGCTGAAAAGAGAATAAAAGAAACACAACATTTCGGCTCTGGAGCCTTCTTTGGTTGTGTAAGACAATGATGTGCTTCTTGTTTACGATAAGTGTAAATGAGAATTACACTTACAGCAATTCAAATTGAGCAGAACTGCAATCACTCTTTTACATGAAACTGTTGAAATGCTATGAGATGACAAAATATTGGCGTCCTTTAATGACCACTATTTTTTTTTCGTTTTAGCGATTACTAATTCTCTGGCAGAGTCTAGAATGTGTACCGCTGTTTAATGTTTTGTATTGTCGCGAGTCTACTAGTGCAGTGTTACAGATTTATTTTTGTCCTTAGGAGTGCGATCAGGTTCATGTAGAAGATGTGGCCTCTGACGACAATGGACAGGACCTGAGGTAATTGTACTATATTAAAAACATGTCATGTTATTAAGTGTAAGAGGTTTAAAAAAAAAAGCCAGGCTTCAATAACATGATTAATTAGCTTGTTCCAGACACCCACAAACTATTGTTTAAAAAATACCTGCTGTTCTTCGTTTTAAATACACTGCCTCTTAATTTCCAGTTTGCTCTGATTTGTGTTTCACTGTTGATTCTGTTGTCTATTGGGTTGCCTGTAAGTGCTTTTGAGGATTATGAGTAATTAAATTGTGTCCAGTTGTAGTTTTCTGAACTACAACTCAGTTCTCCTACCCTGTCAGTAAAGGACATTAATTTTTTTTTTAAACGGTCACCAAAGGTGTAAGCACTGTTCCAAATCATATCTTACTAGTGCATTCTACAACTTAACATAAGATTATTTGTTTTAAATTCTACAGTTTAAAGTTTAAATATATCCCAACTTCGTTTTCCATTGTCTAGTGGAGGAAAAGGTCAACAAAAACACAGATTAAGCTCAGTGCTTCAGATCTTTTAGAAGTATTAATTTATTCTGCCTTTCTGGGCACCCTGTGATATTACATCTCTACAAGGTGTAATCAGCAGAGCAGTGTAAAATGAATGCAGACATGGTAAAGTGTAATTTTATTCCATTTTCATTGCTCAGGTGTGAGTGTGCTGAACCAATAAACATTTAGTGGGGGGAGGGGGTGCTTTGTCAGGTTTCATGTATATAGGCCTTTTCATGTTACCCTTTCTCAACATGTTGCACCCATACCCTTCTATTTGTGTGCACAGAAGGTAAACAAAGCTTCTGGTGTGCAAAGTGTATCAAAGTGTAAGAGACGTCTTGGTATCATGAAATACTATGCTAATGTGACAGTACTGACGTTCGGATGGAAGCAGTTTATAGAACATCCTTCGTGTCAACAGGTGGACCCCTGGCTGCGTCTTTGTTTTGTTTTGGTTTGTGCCAGAAACCCAGCTAATTCCCAGCTTGTTGACAGTTCAGGTAAATGTGTCAAAAGGAGGTGTATGTGCTTACACCAAGTCAGCTGCTTGACTGCCATTTTTCTTCTGAAAAAATTCAAGCTGGATCTCTCTTGACCTGAAACCCGATAGGCTGGACTGTCTGTCCTCGGTAGGCCTGCCTAGGATGAGCTTGCTCAGCTGGCCAGTCTTCGAACACGACTGCTCGCTGGGAGCGCTGTTAGGCTTTAAGATGGTAAGTTTTGGGCAGGAGTGACGGGAGAGAGGTGTTGGCCTTGTCTTGCAGTAGCTACAACTTCGCGACGGACGGCTTCAGCAGCTCGGGTAGCAGCAGGGGGCCTGGTTCCGCCAGCGGGGTGCAGGGGGGTGTGGAGTGGATGAGGAAGCTGGCTTTCCGGTACCGGCGTCTGAAGGAGATCTACAACACCTACAAGAGCAACATTGGAAGTGAGGAGGGCTGGGGAGGGGGGGGTCACGCTGTCTCTGTTTCAGTGACCCACTTGCAGCTTTTATACAAAGAACAGTGCATGTGAATTTAAAGTTTCTCAGGGGGTTGCTCCCTCCTTTGTCCATGATCTCAGATGGAGACAGGATGTACTGTGGAATCCTCTGAATGCCTTTTCACCCTGGCTAGCTTAATACATGATGTAAAATTAAGGGTCTTGTCCCTCTGTGCCCTGTGTTGAACAAGCGTCCCATTGAGTGTATAGTGTCTTAAGCTTTGTGGGACAGGCTTACAGTAAATAATGGCTTTCTGGAAGTGGATGGATTGAAGATTAATTGGTACTTATTATGATGGGTAGAAGCACTTTCTACGTTATAACTGATTTAACAGCTGTTATGTGCAGTGTAAGCTAAGTTACTTAGATGACTTAGATGTTGCAAAGGTCAACATCATCCAATTCTACTGTTTCTGACCATATCTGTGTTTTTCTTAAGATGTGTCAAGTACTGAAACTACCCACCAAAAATGGGAGTATCTGTGCTTAGCTGTTCATGTGGTTATGATTCTGTCTCTCCACTAATTCAGGCCACGACCGTTCTGTGAAAAGAAAGCTTGCATACAGTTACAAAAAAGAAACGTATATGTATTACTGACAAGTTGATATTACAGCTGTTCCTTGATTCTTACAGCTCTCCTGAGTCCACTGAAAAAAGACTTGCTTGGTCGTCTTCAGTCAGATGTGGAGACTGTAACTGATTCCTGGTTAAGCACTGCGATGAAGTCTTTGCTGCTGATTCAGGCCAGGTAAAAGGCTTTGAAAAGATCTTGCTGCATTTGTCTTAGTTAAAATTTGTAAATGGAAATGGCTGTTGGCACGATTAGAGATTGCCTGAAGCACGTGACTTTCCAAGTATTGCAAAAGGCTTACCTTGATATCTCAGAAATAAAATGGTCGAAAACTGTTAATAGTGAATATTGAATGTTTCCCTTAAATGACTAAATCGTTTACATCAGGATAAAGCATACCCATTATTGTACTTCAGATGTGTATTGTTTTGTCTTTTTGTTTGAATCTTGCCTATTTACTTTAATTGTTTGCTACCGTGTATTTTTAGAATCAAATTAATCTCTTGAGGGCAGGTCATAAGTTATTTTCAGCAAATTGCATGTCTTGTGTTTAAGTGCACTGTGAAATGAGGTATAGACTGGCACCGGATGCCTAATGGGAAAGGTGTTGTGTCTTTCCAGAGGGAAGTGTGTGAATGTCCTGGTCACTACCACCCAGCTTGTCCCTGCATTGGCCAAAGTGCTGCTGTACGGACTGGGAGAAGTGTTTCCTGTAGAGAACATCTACAGTGCCACTAAAATAGGTAATGAACTGCTGGCTTTGGATTTTTATACAATGAGATCTTAATCAAGGGATACTACAGTGGTGAACAGGTCTATGTAGTTAGAAGGAAAATCATGTTTCTGAAACAGCAGAGTCTTTTTTCGATACACATATTACTCCGGAAATAAGAGTGACACCAGTGCTCTTATGAGTTGTGTAGTTTTTGATGTCGTTTTTTCTGTTCAGACCCTAGCAGTATGGTCTGCAGTTCCAGTTATGTTCAGGAGTGCTTGTAGTGCGTACCAGTTCTAGCTGGGATGCTTTGTGTCAATGGTGTTATTTAAAGCTCGTTCTTGAGCAGGGAAGGAGAGCTGCTTTGAGCGGATCGTCTCTCGGTTTGGGAAGAAGGTGACCTATGTGGTGATTGGGGATGGCCGCGATGAGGAATTCGCAGCGAAGCAGGTAAACGTCATGATCAAGGCCGTCTGTTCCTGTAGAACACCTTAACTAATTCCCTTTCATGCTTTTCTGGACACTCCAGTTAAAGAGCTCTACAGGTAATCGGGACTCCCCTCCCCCACCACCAATGTGTAGTCCCACCTGGATGATGCGACTGCAGCCAAAGTGCACCAGTACACTCACCACACACCAGCCATCAGCGGGGAGGAGAGCAGAATAGTGAAGCCAGATTAGTAAAGGCCAGGGGGAATTTTGGCCAGGACACCCCTACTCTTTTCGAGAAACATCCTGGGATCTTTAATGAATATGGAGAGTCGGGACCTCGGTTTTATGTCTCATCCGAAGGAGGACGCCTATTTTTTTACAGTACATTGTCCCACTAACATCTCTTCCCACAACTACCTTAGCTTTCCCAGGAGGTCTCCCATCCAGGTACTAGCCAAGCTCACACCTGCTTAGCTTCAGTGGGTTGTCCGTTGTGAGTTGTAGGGTGATTCACTTCTTATTGAACGTATAATTTGTATTGTATTCCCTTAAAAAAAAAATGGGGTCTTAATCTTGATGTTAACTTATGGCGGTTGTAATTCAGAAGGACCCTACCAACGTTCAGTGGTATGGTACAGCTTTGCAGCTTCAGATGTCCTTTGGACAACATAGTACAGCATTTTAAATGACATATTCTTTTCTAGAGAAATGCAGTGAAAAGCTCTTCTTGTGAATGTTTAATTTTTTTGTTAGGTGGGCAGTGGTAGAATGGAAATTTAAGAAGGACCTTTTCTCAGGGGTTTTTCTTGTCCCCTACTGTCATTGTAGCACAACATGCCATTCTGGCGCATCTCAAACCATGGTGACTTGGTATCCCTGCACCAAGCCCTGGAGCTGGACTTCTTGTAGAGAGCCAGGAGGCCGGAGGCTGGGACCGAGAGGTCCCCCTAGCAGGACACCGGGCTCTCGGTACGGGGACTTACACGCAGTGCAGCGGGCTGAAGCTGAGGCCTGGGGCTTCTTTCCTCATCCCGTCTCCGAGGCGTCTGCTCTCCTGCTGGAAGGCTGTCGGCACCTTCGACGTCTCTCCTTGGGAAGAACGGAAGGGACCGGAGGTACGCAGTTCTCCCAGTCTGGCCCGCACCCCGCTGGCAGCCCGCGGGAGAACTCCCAGGCCGGTCCTGGCACAGGGTAGCGGCAGTCGGAGTCGGTGCCGATGAGGCAAGCGGAGGCAGCCCTGGAGGGCTGTGTTGTGTGTTCCTCACCACTCCAAGCATAGCTCACACGTTACATAAAGGGAATGCAGGCTCTCACACTCACTTGGACCTACGAAACCAATTTTATGGAAATGCCCTGACTAGGTAGAATTTGGGGACTTTATTTTGTTGGTATTGTTTTTGTGATCTTTTTTTTAATGGAGACTTGGACTAATTGTGGTCTAAACCATGCAGATATAGTGCATCAGTAGGCTCCAGCTGGCTCAGAACAGTGTGATTCTCATCACTAAGGTACTCATAAGCTCTTCTAGGTCAAGCTGCACAGTAATTTATATGTTCTTTTGAAAGTGAGTTAGGAATCGCATAAATGAAAGTCATCCTCAGTATTGGGTGTATTGATGCCTCACCTATTGCAGGATTTTACGGTAAAAGTTTTGCTGCGTGTCCTTTTTTCTGACTCTTACTATTGGTTTGATGATGGATTCATACTGGATTAGTGTGGAAGACAACATTAATTCAGAGTCTGTCTCTTAAATGCCTACCATCATAGATAAGCTTTGCCAAAGTTAAATGAGTACAAAGACAATAGCCAGGTCTCTTGCACACTAAATGTTTAGTATTCTGCTTGTCTTGTAGAACTGTAGTGCTACCAGACCAGGCTCAATAGAAGGTTACCAAAGGGAAACATTCATCTCAGACAGAATGCACTGATTCTTGCTGCATGCAGGTTAAGTTCATTCCATTTTTCAACTGTTTTATTGTTCTCTTCATCGAAAACATTGAAATATATTATTAAAAACATTCTATGAAAGAAAACTCTCAATTTGTGAGATCGGGCTTTGTATATTTCTTTTTTTTCATGATTCATTTTCGAAGCTAAATATTAGAATCATTTAAACCAAATGTAGGAGAGCATGAAAATGGGTTTTTGACAGTATCAGGCTAACAATCGTGAGTTGTTTTGGCTTGCGATGCCTGGAGAGAGTTCTTTTCTGCTGCGAACATGTATTCATTCAAAAAAGCTTTTTTTCAATAAATCTCAAAATTCATCTTCAATGTAAAATACAATCAGTTAGTTGCAGCTGTGCAGACATTTTTAGTCTTTTTCATCCCCTTTTTCTTCTGCTTGTCCAGGTAATAATGATGGAAAGCCATTGAATTCCATTTTAGAAAAGCTTGACAAACCAGTCAACTGGAGTGTCTGTTTGTGATACTAATGCCATGAGTATTTTTCCAGGGTGACAGTCTTAGATGTTAATCATTTTCATGGAAAGAAAGCTGAATGAAAAATTTAATAATTCACATGTTCATTGTATGTAACCGAATATGTTTTGATGGCTACCATGTTTCACAATGTAGTATAAATTCTATGAAACAATTTGATCTATATATTACAAAACCTAGAATCAGCTAGTTCTAGTTATATGCCACTAAGTAATGCAACTATGGCCAAAGCTTTTACATCGCCCTAGTATTGTAGCCAACCACAGTGATTGTACTGTACCATCTCACAGATTTAAAGAATGATAAATCATTACAGCTTGGATAGGAGCAAATGTGTATCAATGTGTTGCATCCAGCAGAGCCTTGTATTTTTAAACAATCAGATGTCGATCTGTGCAGAAATAGAAAGCGGAGTACATTTCCCCAGTGACTCGGACAGGAATGGGACTTGTCCAGGACTGGGACTAAGCCTTGTAGATCAGACACAGCCAATAAGAATTTGAGCTATATCATTAGCCGGCTGTGAGCACCACACAGCTGGCCTTAGGGCTACCATTGTACTGTGGACCCGAGCTGGCTACTGTGTCTGGTTCAATGGCAGGGCCTGCTGGGCACTGCTGTGTGCAGTGATGAGTGGAGGCTGTGTCACTCACGCCTACACGTGCGGTGGGCACTGTGGGACTCAGCATAAAAAATAACCAATGTCTTGGCCGAGCACTTTTTGGGTGAAATCATGCTTTCTTTGCACCCTGCTTATTCTTTAATATAGTAAACTACATTGGTGGACAGCTGGGTTTAAAGAAATTTAATTCAGTTCCAAATATAAAAAAAGAATTTTAAGCCACACTTAAAAAGACAGCATGTCAGAGTTTTCCAAATATGCAATATGCTGTACTGTCAGTGTATACCTATGTATTGTCTTCTCTCTAGAAGCTGTGGGCAGCTGGTGAATACAGGTAGAGTGCTTCAGTTAGAAAGATTGCTGAGCTCCTCGTAAGTGTGAGATTCTAACAGAACAAACTGAGCCCAAGCAAACTACGTTTTACTCATAGCAGCTTGACGTGAAGAATGTGTATACAGTGTATTTGTATATAGTTATATAGTGCCTTTTAATCCACATATATGTAAATGTATCATACTGTGTAAGGGATATCCTGAAATGTTTAGTTTTGAAATAGATCATTGTTACAGTTGTCAAATGTTAAATCGTCTAAACAGATCTCAGTTGTATGCTCTCCTTAACTGGTGCTCTAACCCATATGTTTTTAAGCTATGGTTAACACTTTGAAGAAACTGCATGCTTTAAAACCTGGTCCCTAGCAAGATACTTCTTCCTTTAATATTGTATCCTATAAATACTGCTAAATGATTGTATAGTTTTGTTTCAAAAAGGTTTGTTGCAAGTCTTTGTAATTATTGTGCATTATTTCCAAACTTTCTCATGACAAGAAATCGTGCCACATGCTCCTTAATGATTTGAAAAGGTAGGTGTTACTTTAAGTACTTGGAGACACGATGAGCTCATTGCACAGACAATCAAACACCTTGTATAAGGTACTTGGAAATGGAAGAGCTTTGCCGCGGTTTTTCTCAGTAGCCACCAGCCATCCTTGTTTCTCAACTGTGGCTTTCAGAGAAGCCTAGAATAGCAAAATTCAGTACTTCTGTTGCAGGTGTTTAAACTGAAGCAGTCATAGAGGTTTACATGCTGTGTTCAATTTTGTTTCTGTCCTCTCCGTCCATTGGCATTGCTCTACAATTCCTTATTACTGTAGAAGCTAATGCTGGACTGCAGGGTATCCATTTAGAGTTAAGACATTAGTGACAAGACAGCCACTGGAAATACACAGAAACTTTCCTAGAGGAAGGTGTGTTCTGACTGACTACGTCATTAAAAGAGCTTCTGGTTTTCAGTTTATTTCTGATCACCCCTTTGAACACTCAAGTTGAGTTGGTTGGTTAATTAAAACCACACAACTGTTACGCACAAAATAAAGGTAGTTGCTCTTAGGTTAGTCTTGGTTAACTGTGTTTGTACTACCTTTCCTGGGTCAGAGGTTTGACTCTTAATTCCTAACAGTAATTTGACATATTCCCCATTGTATTTATTATTTGTATTTTGTAATTCACTGCTCAAGAGTTGAGCAAGGGATTCCCTGACAGATTTTGTCATTGTAATACATTCATTTACACTGCCCACCAATCACAATAGAGTCTAATGGAGTGTTGAAAATTGTGAGAATTTGCAGAAGTTTTAAAAACTAGGCAGTTGTGAACAAGATCACTTATGAAAGCCATTACAATTTTGAAGGCAGCTCATCATTAATAAATACTGACAACAAACAGGCCCTGTCATAAAACATGTTGTTAAAGTAGTGTTAACAATGTTCCAGGCGCAGATGTCAGTTGACTTTATATTATCCTGCGGTGCCAGATTTGTTAACCTCTGTAGGAAAAGCTTGTGAATCGCTGATTCACACTTACAAGAGGTCACACTATAGTACACATAGGAATGATTCTTGCTCAACTTTGGAAAGAGTTTCCTCATCTTTGCATGCAAATGCGTATTTCTGCATAAAATGAGGTTGGCTACAGCAGCATCTCTATTTCAGATATTTAAGCTTTGCTTTTTTGTTTAGTTCTTTTTACATATTTATTTTAAGGAATGGTACTTTTTACTGTAACAAAACAGTCAAACTTTTTTCTAATAAATGAGCTGGACATTTACATAAACCTACCTTAAATTAATTTCTCTTTCATTTTGAAAGCCCAGTTTACCAGGAGCTGCCGTTTTCCGACGCTGGGCTTGATCACTGTGTCGGTTTGAAAGCAGTGCAGCTCAACAGTAGTCTACCCATACTTCAGGTCTCATGACTGAGAGGTGGCAGGCTCTATGCTGATAGGGTCCTTTGCTTTTGTTTTTGAAGTACAGTGCTTTCTCTTTCTGTTGCTTGAATCCGTTACAAAGGATTCTTGCCTATATATACCCTTGTTTTTTCTAACAGGTAAACTAGAGCCGTATGTTGTCTAATTTCCTGTTCAATATGCAGGACTGCAGCCAGGATGAACTGCTTTTACAGCCTGGGATTTCCCTGTAATTGTTCCATGTTTTATTATCTTAATGGCATGAGTCACTGTTGATTAAACTTATCTGCAGAGCTGAACGAACATATCCCCAATAAAAGAAAATATCTTTTGGAACAGGTTTCTTAAAAGCTGAATTGGTGACTGTTATTGGGAATTATGTCTGCATTGCACAGCAATGCTACACCAGTGGTACGGCAATAAGTTGAACACCCCTCCCCACTAACATTTCCTGGCCGCAAACTTTGTAAAGGCTTTTCTGACATTAAAGCAAGAAAAAAAGATTCACTTTGTGCTTGTAAGAAATAATTCTTATTGTAGGAACCTGTCTGCATTTCTTTCACAATACTGTATTACAAAATGAGTTTGGGTAATTGTGGAATGACACTGAATTCAGAATGGAGAATTGTTACATTGAAACACAGGGAATCCAATCGTGTTGTAAAGCAGTGGTTTCACACTGTGCTCTTGAAGGAAGATGGTCTTGTTTTTGCTCCAGGAGAGAACTTAATCACAGGCTAACTGATTTTCTGTTTGGGACATTTTTGTAGATCTGTATTTCCACTTAAAAGATCAAGTGGGGTTTCTAACTGGTATCAGCCCTGCAACAAAGTCTGGGTTTGAGCATTACCCTCATTTAGGTGCAGCCAATTGGCAGCCTGCAGAAGGAAAAATGCTCATTGTGGGAATATCTGATAGTGTTATTCCTACCCGTCTGTTCATCATATAGTGGTCACTTTGTAAGAGCTGTTTAATCTGAAATAGTAGCTAGCAGGCCAAGGGGTGGTTGTGTAAAGTTCTGTGTTCCTACGTTCTGGATTCACCTTAAAATAGAGTATTTTTGGCTCTCAGGATTGACCAGAGAAACAGCCTAAATAAACAAGCAAGCAGAACAATTGAGTCATCGATTAACATTAGGGATTTAGAGCTCAGGGCAACATGGTAGTATAATGGTTGGCATTGCCGCCTCACGCCTCTGGGGCCCTGGGTTCCAGTCCAGAGCTGGGATGCTGTCTGCATGGAGTCTGTATATCCCATGACTCTGGATGGGATGAAGATGCATAGATTTAGAACTCATCTGGAATAAAAAACCAGCAGACTGTGTTCCTCCAAGACCAATGCTGGAATCCTCTGCTGTAGAGAACTCGATTTTCATATGTAATAGTATAGTTACTAAATGGAATATTAAAACATGTGGTGAGTTTTTATAAACATAACATTTGGACACCACCCCCATCCTACTCGCCCTTTAATTATATATAGACCAAGAGAATGGTGTCTGCTCAGAATTGAGTTTTCAGTTGCGAGGCAGTTGTTTTAAGATCATAGTGTGATCCAGAATTCCTGTGTTGTAACGGGCAGCTGGTTTTAGGCAAGGTTACTGCAGCGCTATTCCGATATTTTTCTTGCCTTTTGTAACGATGCCTAGGATGCTACAATCTACAGTTACATCCTACAGAACAGGGCTTAAAAAGGGCTTAAAATAAACCTTCACAGATTTTGGCTTTTTTCATTCTTCTTGTTTTGATATCCACTAAATTCTTTTCAAACTTGAATGTTGTAAGAGTGTGTTGTTTTAATTGCTGGTTGTTAAAGAAAAGGGGGCTGGCTGAATTGTTAGTTCAGTGCGGTACCCAGTGCCAGTATACAACTTTCCACGGAAACGAAGCATCCAATAGCAATACTGAGTACTCTTTTTACGTGCTTGTTTGCGGAGGCGAATCAATCATTTATTATTTTTCTTTGTGTTTATTTTGTATGTATTTATCTTTCCTACTAAAACTTTTTGGACAGCTCATCTCTTTATAAGCAAGGGTCAAATTGCCAAAACCTCCATAGATTACTCAACCAACTTGATTTAAATCTCTTAATGCATCTGACCCTGTTTATGTAGAATAATATATATTATAGGAGAATCTTGCCTTTTTAAGTTATCCAAACCAGAAGGGTCTGTAGCATTATTACGTGGTATCGGCATGGATTTGAAGTTATGTTCAACATTGTCTTGTTCATGTAAAAATGTTTTTTTTATCCTTCTTGTATTAACCAGTAAAAGCTGTCACAATAATTCTGGAGAAAATTGCAAATATGCTTTAAAATCATAATTGTTTGGATAAATTGTAGGGGTGGTGGTAGTTTTTCCTTGCTTAAAAAACAAATGCTTTATTGTACTGTATATATCTATTTATTTTTACGACTTATTTCTTTTATATATGTATGTGTGTGTGTATTCAGAAATGTTAGTTTTTTCTATGTTTACATTAAAAAATTGAGTATTTTATATTTGTGTGAATTTTACTTACCTAGAATAAACTGTATAAGTCTTAGTCTTTCTTGGGGGTTTGGCATTTATTTGAAACAATTAGATTAAGATTTCAAGAAAATTTCCAATTCTAACTTTGTTTCATAGTTAATTTTTTTAAGGTTGAGGAAGTAACTGTTTGGCAATTCTCTCTTTATTTTAATTTCAGGGAGACAATTTCCCCTTGGTTGCTTTTGCACAATTCAGGTCATTATGTACACAAGCCGGAATGAGAGGTTTTAGTGTTTTATAGTTTTAGGAAATGAAGTGGATTGTAGGTCTGCAGAAACAGAACTTAGGGTGTTCTCCAGCATTGCAGATGGGAATAAGACTCAAGCCTGTCATTTTAAGGTGTAGATAAAAATTAGTCAATAGCCTCTTTTTAAAATATGAATGGCATGATATACCAACTGATGTTGCTCTTGTGTTGCATATGGAACTCCTCAAAGAAGCACAGTGCTTCACCCAGAGTGAACCACGCTCAGTTTCAATACAGACCAAACATCTGACCAGTAAGAAAACACTCAGTTATCTGCAGGTTTCCATTGGCTAGAAGAATGAAACTGCTGGGATGGATTTGCTTTCTAGTTTACATCTGGGGTAATATACCGAAGCTGATCAGATTCAAGTGGTTAGTGCCAAGCAATTTGCTTCTGCGTGCACATCGCCGCTCTGAAAGCAAGGAGTTCGAAACTACAAAGTTGGAATGTGTGCTCCAATAAATTCCTGTGATGAAAAGGCTGAGCCATTCACCCAGTCATGAGCCTTTGCTGCAGTGTGATGATCAGTGTCCCTTTTCCCGGCTCGTTCCATTGGCTCAGTCTGCCAGCTTCTTTGCCAGCAGTAACCATCTATAGCCACTAAGAGTGCAAACAGGCAGATCATTTTTTCCCCTGATAAGAACCCATTTATTCTTCTTGGGTGGTTTTGGCTTGGGCAGCTATTGTGAAATCTCACCAGTCCAGCTCCCCCTGTGCGAATGCCCCATGGCGGACTTCGGTTCTCACCATGCCTCTATATGACAGGGTTCTGCTGCGTCCCGTTCGCACTGCTGGGGTATGGCGGGTGAGGCTCTGCAGAGTAGAAGTTCTTGGCGAGGTTCAACATCCTTCTGTTCTGGAGATGTGAGGGGGCTGGTGTTACCGGCATAGACCTGAAGTCGCCATGACTATCAGGGTCATCCTTCCCTGAGAGTGCCTGAGTATCGGGGACATCCTGCCCAGACTGGGGCAGCAAGTCCCATCGTCTGGGATGGAAGAACCAGTAATAAAAGGCTTTGATCAGCAATCCCAGCAGGTAGGCAGAGGGCAACACGGAGACGAGAGTCCCTGCATAGGCCTCAGTTAGAACGCAGTCCCTGTAGTAACCCCAGGTTGCCACCAGGATAGCACTGTCTACGAACATGAAGGAGTGGTAGATGACGTTCCTGCCCCTGGTCTTGCCGTCTGCAACATTGAACCAGCTGAAGTACCAGATGAAGGCCACTGCAGCACGGTACAGCCACTCTCCTGGCGCGTTGTCCATGAACTGGGTGTTCTGGAGCCAGGCCCAAACAAACAGGGCTAACCACAGTGCCAGGAAGTGCAGAACCAAATACTGTGGGAAAACGGAGGTGAAGACGGCCACCGCGGCCACACGCGGAGCGATCAGCAGCAGGTTCCACAGGAAGTAGACGACAGAGGAGCTGTAGCCCATCTTGGCCTTTTCAGGCAGGAAAGAGCGCAGGGAGCGGTGGTAATCCAGCACCATCCAGGCAATGGAGATGGTAGATGCAGCTACGCTGATCCCTGGAGGCAGATGAGGAGCATAAAGGGAAACTAATCTGAGTAAGGAAAAAAAATCTTGGCTGCCTATCAATCGGAATCCCACCTGTAAGATTATACCTGTACAGGACAGTGAAATAACCATGACTCAGTGTCTGTCCCCACACCTGCCCCAGTAGTGCTGGGCACAAAAGGTAGAGGCCTGTTTCTCTTATTAATAAGGACACAAGGAAGCCACATGTCAACTACACTGCTGCTTGAGTAACTACCACCTGCCTGGGAGTTACAGCATGTCAGAGCAATGATTACTCCAGACGTGCTGGATTTCATTGCGTCATACACACATTATAAAATGAAACATTACTAACATACTTTATATGATTTAGATAGTGTGCATTGTTATACTTAACATTTTAAGTGCAAAACTAATACATTTCTGTTATTGCATTTACAGTGCGTCCATCCCTCATTAAAAAGCCACTTATGCCAGGCAGGGAAAATCTCAAGTCTCTCAGATGCAAAGAGCACAAGGCAGGAAAACACTCTGGGACACCAGTTGAGGTTAAAGATAAAGGGTTGGCATTTTCTCCTGCATCTTCCCTTAGAACAGATCAATTCTGAACACTCCTGTTCCATTATTATTAATCTGCCTTCTGAACAAGACGAGCTTAGGCAGTGGATTCTTAGCATGCTTCCTTTAATAACTATGAACCTGCAGGTAGATTTACTGATACAATGCCTGATGTTTGGTTTCATTTCAAAGGCAATGGTGTTAATATATTCTGTGTCACCTGTTAGGATACTATAATTCAGCCACCAGCGACTGGCAAATAGGAATTAAGTCTGTTGTTTTGAACTTGGCCAGGGAACTAGATTAACTTGTTACCGTTTTCTTTATTCAGTAACCTTGCAGTTATGTAGACATGAAGTTAAACCCCATAAAAAGTTCAAAATAATCATTTTGAAAATCAATCTTTTTGCCCTTACTCAGTACAAGATGTACAAAATCCTTCAGCTTCATAAACCTGAACATCAGCCGTTTTTGACTTATTTGTTTTAACTCCGTTCTGCTGTCACTCTGCCGCACTCACACTGCACCACGCTGGCCTGGTTGTTGCGGATGATGATGTAGAGCATGAGAGTGAGCTGTGGGGTGCTCTCGAAGAAGGTCTCGAACAGTCGGAGCATGCTCAGGTCGTGGGTCTTGTACACGGCATATTCCGAGCCCTGCTTTCTCTTCCACCACACTTGGAAGCCAAGCTCAATGGCCGTTATGTACCTGCAGGGAGAAGAGCAGCAACATACTGGATAGTATGTTACTGTCCCAGTGTCGCAATGCACTGCCCCATGCACTCCTGCATTTCTCCCCCGCCCTGTACAACCACTGATCTTCCTCCTGCTTTGCAATAATCATGCAACTTCAGAATGCTTCTAATGTTAGCTGCCCTACTCAGACAGCTGTGTGCTGCAGAACGATGCAAGTCAATCCCCTGAGCAACAGAACATCCTCCCACAGGCACCTACACTACACAGTAGAGGGCACTCACATCACTACTGTGCACTTGATCAAGGACAGTGTGCTCAGTGAGCTGTTGTCTGTGGAAATGTGTCCCTGATCTCATTTGTTTTCCCAGTGTCTTTCAATACAGCTGTGTGAACAGATCAAAACATTAGCACCTATGTGTTAATTTAACTCTGAATATTATCCTCTCCCCCACTCTCCCCTCACCCTCTACATGAAAACAACAGAACACTGTACATTGAGACCTGTTGGCAAAGATCAGCACAGGGTAGATGAGAAAGCTGCTTGGCTTTCTGAGCTGGCGCTTGGAAGAGCAGACCAGACTTTAATCACAGCTGATTTCTTGTAAAATTATAAAAGTGCAATGGGGAGGTCTTCTCATCACGTGCTACAGACGTTTGTGTTTGTCGCTGAATCTCAGCTCTTAATTTGGGCTAATTATTTTCCCCAAGTCTGTTAAACTTATTCCAGGTTTTAAACAGGCAGGGAATATAAACTACAAAAACTACTGGCCTTGTACTGCCCAGCACGAAGGCCTCCTTCCACACAGAAACACTACTTAAGGGTTTTCTTTTAATCAGGTGTAACAGAGAGAAAGTCTTAAAGTTGTTTTTGCAGAATCTGCGTACTAGTGTGCCTTGCCATATATGTGGTTAGACATTTACTAACCTGCACTATGTACAACTATGTACAAGGGGTGATTCAACACTTAGTTTAAAATCAGAAAAAATATTGTAAATTGTCAGTGGAATCAGATCCACAACTTCTACTGTACAGTGCTAAATTACTGGATAAGCAAATCAATCTCGGAAATTGAACTGGGAAGAATGAATAAGTTTAGGAATTAATGTTTCTGAAACAAATCGATGTTTGAGACATGAATAAATGAAGAATATACCACAACTGGCATTCTTGTTCTACGATGAGCACAGCAATAGAATGAACGTTTGCAATACGGGAAAGAATAATAAAAATAAATAATAATAATAATAATAATAATACAGACCTCATGAATAATCCAAGCTGGAATATGTGCAGGAGGTTCAGGCAGCAGCGTCCTCGGCCTCTCAGGAGGAAGTCTTCCGTGAGCGTCAGGGCTCTGAAGTCCTCCAGCTGCCGGTCGTACCTGTACCACAACCAGCTGAACATCTGCACGACGGCGGAGGAGACGGCGATGAAACCGACCACGGTTCCGCACCAGAAGTAGTCCCCCCGCGAAAAAAAGTCCACCGCGACCCAGACATCGGATCCCAGGTCGAAGAGGAAAGTGCACACTCCCAGCAGGGTGAAGAAGAAGTCCAGCCACGAATACTTACTGAACTGGGAGCACTCCATCTCGCGGCTGCCCGGGTCGCGCAGTCCTTTAAGGGCCCCGGCAACGCCCACCCTTTCAAGTCGTTATAAACAATATTGAACAAACGCGAACAACGTTATTATTCCCTTTTACCGTGCCGGGACCTTTAACAAGTTTTAAAGTTATGGAGGAAAAAAAAAGCCAGGGGCCGGTCGTTGTTTAGCCCCGGGTAAGCCTCAGGACCCTCAAGTCCAAAAAAGTTCTTCTCTTGCCAGGGTGCAGTCCGGGTAGCAAACAGCAAGCAAGTTCAGCTAGAGTACCTAAATCGGAAGAGCAACTTCCTCTCTTTACAGGACAACTGTCTGGTGCCATGATAGACAACGGCTTCTGCAGGGCTCTTATTTATACTAGCGCCGACTACAGCGAGCCAGCAGACCCGTGTATTGACAAAACTCAGGTCGACTTTCTTCAGTCCAACTTTAAGCTCCACCTAAAGGGCGGATGTTAAGTTTTAAAGAGCCATCGCATTAAACTGAAACTGTCTCGTACTGTACGTAGGTGTCAGGCGATAGGCTGGTCGAACGGCCGTTACTGTAAGGAAAAACAAAAACTACTTTGACAGCGCTGGACTTACGTAGTCTTGTCTCGTCTAGTCCACAGTACACAGAAATCGACTATACTCATCTGTTAATGTCTGACTGTTCAGATAAACGAGAGAGACGGGGTTAGTTTAGTTGAAAACAAGAAATACATGTTTAACCGTCAAAACTGAAACCGCCACTGCGCGCGCCCGACTAAAAAAAAGGAAGCAAATTCGTTGTTTCCCCATTATTAATTATTCCAGATGCTCTTCGTTGTACCAATCGTAGTAGATGATGTAACTACGTTGGGGTAGCAGTGTAACGTTGGGGGCTCTGGATGTTATGGGAGGTTTGAGGGTCAAATCCCAAGTGAGAGACTACCGTCGTGCATTGGGCGGCGTACTTATACATACTTATACTCAGGTTTATATGAATGCAAATAAAGTCGCTTTGCAGAAATGTATAACTAAACGAGTGTTTTCTCGTGTGTTGCACCCGAGGAATTAAAAGGACGTCATTCACCCACCCACACACACAATGCCGTAGGGAAACCAAACCGGTCTCATTCGGTAGTGTTATGTTAGTGCTATGAGCCTCCTTAGATGTGAATAATACTAAGACATAACGGATGCCAACAAGTTAACCATCTATGACATAAACCTGTGGTCGGAATGTATGTAAAATCACCGTGATTGTAAGATCTCTGATTTTTATTTTCTAAGGCACATTTTCCTTATCAGTACATGATATACCCAGATAGGACGTGTAGAGATATAAGGACTTTGTGTCGTGACATGGGGTCAGCATATCTTGTCAGGGTATGTCCTATTGCAGCATATGGGCTTCATGTCAGGACATGGAGGTGGGCATTTTTGACAGGGTATGTCATATCGCGATATGCGCGGCTTCATGTCGCGACATGGGGCGGGGCATTTTGACGGGGGTATGTCATATCGCGATATGAGCGGCTTCATGTCGCGACATGGGGCGGGGCATTTTTGACAGGGTATGTCATATCGCGATATGAGCGGCTTCATGTCGCGACATGGGGCGGGGCATTTTTACGGGGTATGTCATATCGCGATATGAGCGGCTTCATATCGCGACATGGGGGTGGGCATTTTTACGGGGTATGTCATATCGCGATATGCGCAGCTTCATGTCGTGACATGGGGCGGGGCATTTTTGACAGGGTATGTCATATCGCGATATGCGCGGCTTCATGTCGCGACATGAGGCGGGGCATTTTTGACGGGGTATGTCATATCGCGATATATGGACTTTAATGTCGGGACAGTGGCGCCGACAGTGATGCACCAGTCGCAATGGGTATCGCGATATGATCGTGATGCGCGCACTTCTATCGTGGCATACTACCGGAGTCGTGAATGCCATGACATTCTTTGTCTGCTATTCAGTTTTGACCTCAGTGCAACTTATCTTAGATTGATCAGTAATTCAAACCAAAGGATGTGTCACTGTATATCCAGCGTGCTCATACAGCACACACAGTACACACGGAACCTCGGCTGTGGCGCTTTACCCAATCAGAGTGTCGATTCTCACTTTTCACCCAATCGCGGCCCGACCTGTTGGGGGGGTTTAGCCAATCACGGGTCTGAGAGCTGTTCAAGCAGCAGCGCCAGGTGGATCGGCTTGTTTACTGTCAATTAGAACCTATTTTTTAAATGCTTTACTTATTTGTAAAATAACTACATCGGCTTATTTTTTAACGTCTTTATTGATTCACAATGTCCCGTACTCTTCGAAATAAATACTTTTTTATTTGCAATATAACTGTCTCCGCTGCTTTCTGTAACGAATACATGGTATTTGAACAATCGTAATCGTATTAAATTTAAGGTAGGGGAAACACCTTCTGCTTTGTGCTTAAAACATTAATAGACATGTAAAGTCTATGATCATTATATTGTTATGCTCTTGCTTTCGATTTTGTTTTTATTATTAAATAATATCGATCTGGAAACGAATACCTAAAAATGTGAATATGGGCTCTCGTGTTGTACCAGCGGTAATTTGGAAACTGGTGTCTCTTCACCAATGAAAGGAGTACACAAGCAATACATTTTCGAGAACATGATTAAACATTAAAAGAAAACACCTAACCCAATGAACTAACATAGTAACTCCTCAAATGTAAGACTTTATTCGAGTAAAGGCTGCAACGTCAGGGGTCAACTGATCAAAAGATCACAACTGAAAGATCTGGTGGTCGTGACTTTGCTGTTTTGTAAAGACGTCACATAGTAACGTCACAGCCAGGAAAAGAAGGCGCTATATTGAAATATATTGAAACATCCACCCCACCAGAACAGACTCGGAAAACAAATCCCCCCCCCCCATTGTTTTCATCACAATCAGGAGCTCAAGTACCGAGTTAATTGGTACCTGTAAACTTCCTTGTGGGTAGTCACGTGATTACCCGAAAAACGAGGCTCTATATCTCGGGAATGAAAGCAGCACAAACGCAGCACTAACGATTGAGACCGGTCCGGTTCCCCTACTACGTTGTAGCGGGGCTGGGCAAGGTCACCCCCTGAAAAAGAAGACGTTATATCTAAGGAACGGAAACAGCTGGGAAGTTACTTTCAACGGCACAAACCGCCACAAATGCAGCACTAACGAATGAGGTGGGTTTCATCGTTTGTGCTGTCTTTAGGGGGACAACTTCACGGAGCTCTGGGAACCGTGTTCAAGTTGTTGAAAAGCAGTGCTGGCAGTTAGAAACCCAAGGCGCGTTCAGAGCTGGCGAACGGGTCTCCACACCTATTGCTGTAATACAAATCCCCCTTTTCTGACCACCCCAATGTGCTCACTGTGCGCAACCTCCCCTCTTACTAACTTAAAGACACCTCCTTTTCTGTGGCCTGTGCACTGTTAACAGCTCCGGTGCTGTTGAAACACCTCCCGGATCACCTTTATTCTTAGCAGCGCCTCTTGGTAACGCACGTTTCTATTGTACACAGTTCGAAATACTGTGAAAATATACATCATTCAGCACCAAAAGAGTAAATCGCTGACGATCACATTGGTTCCAGTAAAGTCATTTCAATACATGAATTGTAGGTGGTTTATTCTCATCATGAGATAAAGCTCCTGTGACTGTTCCTGCTCTAGTCTTCCAGTGATCACTGACCCACAAACCACGTGTGTCACCTCACAGTCCGAGCCTGCATTTCCTCACAGCGCGGGCTCACAAGACAGCCGACAGCCAAGACTTCTGCTCCACACAGATGACATGACACTGCCGCTTTGTGGCTTCGACAAGCACAGTTGCAATCAGCACCTGTATTTGTATCATTGTCAGTGACACAGAAGAAACACGACCCACTGTGTAAACATCACCTAAAGCTTAATGAGCGCTAAAAAACCCAACTTTCAAAATCAAGGAAATCCACCTTTATTAATCCATATAAATACATCACTAGATAACTTTCTTTATTTGAATTCTTAGTTTTTAAATAAAAATGTGTTCATTTGTCTTTTAAATACAATAATTGCATTTCTAGAATGTTTTTCATCATAAGGTGTCCAAGGTATGGGGAACTGCAGATGAATTCCACATAAGGAAGAACTGTCAAATGTGAAGAACTATGAGAGCCACAGGAATCACATGCAGAAGACTGTCAAAAAACTGGAGACATCTTTGACTAATCTCCCCAGGTTAAGCAGGTTTGAGATGTTTTGAGAAACATGCAGTCAGCCCCCTCTCTTCCCCATTCTCCAGGCACAGTGCTGAAATTTGTTGCACAAAGAGACTAAATCCTATAGTTTACACCTGGATGTACTTTGTGCCATTGGGGTTTCTTACCTTGGTAGGTTTCCTGTGGTTTTAACACTACATCACTGTGCTTTATCACACTTTTGCTATTGTGTGACACAGTTCGCCAGCAGCCACATCACCCTGCAGCCCAGCAGGTGTGAGCCTGGTCAGTCCCTGGATGGGTGACCTCCTGGGAAAAACTAAGGCTGCTGCTGGAAGAGGTGTTAGTGGGGCCTGTGGTCCATGTGGGTCCTAATGCCCCAGTATGGTGACTGGGACACTATACTGTAAAAAAGACACTGTCCTTTGGATGAGAAGTAAAACCAAGGTCTTGACTCTCAGTGGTCATTAAAAATCCCAGGGTGTTTCTCGAAAAGAGGGTTTACCAATCATGGCCTCCTAATAATCCCTAATCTATGAATTGGCCTCATCTCTCTGTTCTCCGCCCCACTAATAGCTGTTGTGTGGTGAGTGTACTGGTGCACTATGGCTGCTGTTGCATTACACAGGTGGTGGTGGACGGGAGTCTCCATTACTTGAGTGGAGTGTCCAGAAAAGCGCTATGTAAGTGTAAGGAATCATTATGATTAGTATTAGAAGTTCACCTTTATAAGGGGACTGCTGTATGTCACACTGCTTTCTGTTCCTTTTAGCTCTGCATTCAACACTATCATCCCATAGCTCCAAATTAACAGAACTCCTGCCAGTGGATCATCAACTTCCTAATAAACAGAAGGCAATGTGTGGGAATGGGCTCTTATTTTTCAGACTGCTTACCTGTGAACACTGGTGCAACTCTATATTCTATATTCTCTCCCCATTACTGTATTGCCTGTGTACCAGTGCCCATTCCTCCAGGAACCCCTCTGTCACACTACTCAAGTCTGCAGAGGACACCAGCCTGGTGGATCTTATCAGCAATGGAGAGGAGAACATTACAGAACAGGTACAGAAGGGAATTTGGTCATCTGGTGGCATGATGTGTACACAATATTCTGCTCAGCAGTCTCAGAACAGTGGAAATGTTAATTGACTTTTGGGAAAACCATCCAACCCCCCCACCCAGAAACTGACAAGGTTGTAGAGAGTGTGGTGGAGCCTTTCACGTTTCTAAGAATAACCATCTCTAACACCCTCAATTGGGAGCAAATGTTATTAGCATCACAAAGAAAGCACAGCAGAGATTGTATTTCCTGTATCATCTGAAAAATCTCAATGTTTCCCTGCCTATTATCATTCAGTTGTATAGAATACCATTGAGAGTATTCTCACAGTTTCTATAACTCTTTGGTTTGAAGTCTGTCCACTCTACAGGCAAATTGCAACGCATTGTCCATTGTGCAGAGGGAGTCATAAGCTACCATTTACCATCTATTGAAGACCTGTATAAATTCAAGCTAAAGAAGTGAGCAGAAAAAGTTGGCAATGATTCAACTCATCCAGAACACCACCTGTTTCAAATATTCGCCTCTGGGAAACACTACTGGTTGATCAAAATAAAAACCGCCCGGCATCTGAACAGCTTCTTCCCAGTGACCTTCAACCTCCTTAACCAGAACACATGAGTACAGGATACAGTGTGTATAGAATTATAGGCCTGTGCATGTTCCTCCTGTAAAGGTTATATGTATTATTGAATTATTTCTGTTTTTGCACCAAGACACCAGACCAAAATCCTTGTGCATTTTACATGCCCGACAAAGAAAGTGATTCTGATTCTGATTCTGATTGCTCTCTTCACAGGACACAAAGGGGGAGAAGAGTCAGGGGAAGAAGCAGGTCAGACGTTCTGGTAAGTGTGTTCTGTTTGTAGTCTATTCCTCTGTGGCATACATGTATTTGGAAATCATTTGCTAGATTGTGCTGGAACTTCATCATAAGCGGAATCAGTGTGGACCAGATAGTTGTGACTTGGGCAGCCTGAGAAACCCCTATCTCTCCCATCCAGAATCCCCTGTGCAAATGAAGTATGCCGGTGGCATAATTCTGTTTTCACCGCACCACCTGGCATTCAATTACATGGTCCTGAACTGTCCTGTTCACTCTGCTGGGGCAGGGCAGTTAAGCCTCTGAAGAGCAGAAAATCTTGGTGAGGTCGTGGAGATGTGAGGAGGCTGGTGGCACAGATATAAGTTGAGGTCGACCTTACCATCGTGTACTGTACATCGTCCCTTGAGGGTGCCTGAGTATCAGGGACATCTTGCCCTGAGAGGGTCTCACTTTCAGAGACATTCTTCTTTGACAAGGGAGAAAATGTCCTCTGTTTGGGGTGGAAGAACCAGTAATAAAAGGCTTTGATCAGCAAGCCCAGCAGGTAGGCAGAGGACAACACAGAGATGAGAGGCCCTGCATAGGCCTCAGTCAGAACGCAGTCCCTGTAGTAACCCCAGGTTGCCACCAGGATAGCACTGTCTACGAACATGAAGGAGTGGTAGATGA